TTCATGGAGCCATCTGCTGAGGAGAAGGAGACCAGGTGGAGTACGGCGCTAGCGGATACACTCATAAACTGAGGTTCCCCTGTAGATCTATAAACCTCTCCGGGTTCTTCTTTGTGGCTAATGATATTTTTTATTGCCACAGCACTCAAGAGTATAATTGAATAACTTAATCCAAGTGCCATCTTTTATTGACCCACAAGCTTGAAGGAGATGAATCCATAGTGTAATTAAATTCTCAACTTTGTGTCAGTTCCGGCAGCCTGTGTGGTAGGATCTCTTCACCAAACCGCCGTGTCCATGAACACATTAACAGCCCTACAATGAGCAATTGGTGTGATTTTATGCTGTCGTTAGTTTACACAAACTTGTTCCCTGAGCAGTTCAAATCATCAGCGTGCAATCGGGTCTTAAAGTTCACATCTGTCTGAGGTTTGGCAAGTGTTTCTTTGGCTTTATGTGTTTTTTTTCTCCATCTAAATACAACACCACACTCCTCTCAATCTTAGTTTAAATGAACAAACATGGCGTTACATCAGGGAAAGGCATATGAAATACTGAACTATAAAATAGGATCATTATAATTATAGTAAAGGCATATTTTTAATGTAGCTTACACTGAGTTACCCTGAGTTACCAATTTATTAGAAAGACCTACCTTTTTTATGCTCACCTACCAAGATTTATTGGCAATAACTGGCCATATGTTAGCATTTTATAGTGATGGGAATATAATAAAGCTTCTTTCACAATGCATCTGTGATCCTGTTACACCTGTTTGTTTTATGTGTCAAGTATTGGATTAGTGTGTCTAAGTGAGTATGTGTCCAGTGTAAGAACGCATTGACTGCCACTTCACATCTGGGTTTGCTTGTTTTATATTGTTTGTGGAAAATGTGTAATTTGTTTTGAACTTTCCCTGCTGCCTTGGGAGTTTTCCATCATCAACTGTGAATCAGCCAAAAGACTTTGTATTGCAGCAGAGTGTCAGGCTGTGAGCCAGGACACATTAGCAGTGTTTAACAAGGCTATAATCTGGGACACTTCTTACAGTGGTAGCAGAGTTAAACCAGACCACAAGCCAGGCCAGTTTTCTCCACAATAGTGGAGTTTAACTAGGCCATGAGAGTGGAGTTTGATAGGCAGCAAGCTGGGACCATGGTAGAGTTTGACTAGGCTGTGAGCTGGGGACTTTGCACCACTGCGGCGAAGTTTGACTAGGCTGTGAGCCGAGACATTTTTCACCATGGTAGCAGAGTTTACTAAGGCTGTGAGCCAGAATAGTCGTACCACTGTAACAGAGTTTGACTAGGCTGAGAGCTGGGCCACTTTTCACTGTGGTAGTGGTGTTTGACTAGGCTGCATGCTGGGGATTTCACACTGTGACAGTGGAGTTTATTAGGCCACGAGCCCAGGACTTGACACAGTTTGGGGCGACAGATACATTCACACTGGTACAACATCTGGCTAAAATGTGCCTCAGAGCAGGTCCTGAAGTGATTTGATCAATCAGATTTAAATCTGTTTAAAATGCACCATTTAAATCTGTGTGTTTATGTGGATAAGCCCTGTTTGGATAATCCTGATATTCAAGACACATAAAACAACCAAGTGTAAACAGGGTCTCTGCCTCTTGTACACTCTATGCGTTTTAATATTATGGGTTCAATAGGCTACTTGATCAGAAACATCTACCCTAACCTTTTTTAGGTTGTAATCCATCTGTTGCAGCAAAATCTATCAGCCCTCTCTACCCTATGCATAAATGCAAAAGGACCACTTAGGATCACTGCTGACCAAATATTATTTGAGTGGTGGGCCAATCTCAGCAGAGCAGTAACACCAATATTGGCATAGCAGTGTGTGGTACAAGCTGAGGTTTTTACACATCGGTGACACTGCTGGTTTAAAAATAGCCTATCAACAAAATAAATCCAGCCAACAGTGGCCCTGTGGTCAGAAACTGTCCTTGCAATGAAAGACTAGGATGGATAACTGTGCATGGAAAAGTTGAGCTCAATGAATACCTACAAGGTGTACGAAGTAGGTAGGCACTGAATAAAAAGTGGCCAGTAAATGTATTATTTGCCCGTCTACACTGGACACTAGGTTATCCTAAAACAACCACTGCACTTCGGGCAGGAATGAACATGTTTCATGGCAACAGCACAGAAGTTATGCACAGAAGTTATAAATCTGTTTTTTTCTGTTTTCAGTATGACAAGTGTAGGGAACAAGATCCATATCTCATTGCATATGCTGTTGAAAGAAAAAACAATCATTTTTCAGAAAATTACAGAATCTGCAGCAACAAAATAAAATCACCTTTTTCAGCATTTAGTGTGTCCACTATTTGCCTTTATTACAGCTTATCATTCTTTTCAGGAGTCTTGCTTTCAGTTTTTCAAAGAAATTTGCAGGGATATTTTTACACACCTCCAAAGTCTGTCTTAGAACTTGGTTGCATTGTATGTAATTTTATGTAATCTCAAACATTTTCAATGATTTCGGGGTTGTAGTGTACCTACCCTTTCCTCAGTAAGGGCCTTTTGACAGCTATACATTCTGTCAGACTCATAGTGTTGAGTTGTCTTCTTACAGTGGAAGGATGGACAGAAACACTTTGAATTTTTTTCAGATCTGAAGCAAAAGTGGAGTTTGATTTTCTTCTCTCTCTCTCAAAGAAAAAAGTCTTAAGTACTGTTTATATGACGGGGATAGTTTTGGTGGCCTGCTAGGTTATGGACAGTTGATGGAAGTTTCAGTTTAAACAATTTGAGTTTAGGCAAGATTGTGTAGTTTATGTGAACGTGTGTCTCTTTGAAGGAGAACAAAAATGTCATTGACAGCTATAGGAGCAGTTTTTGTTGAGAGGACACAGCTCTAACCGGCTGGGTTTGAAATTGGAAGGATGGAAGAGTTAAAGCTGCAGTAGAGTGCATAAAAGTAAAGTGTGGATGAACTAAATACTGATAGATTTGATTTTATACTTGTGTTGGAAGTATAGCTGTCTGTCGTTTTTCACTGGAAATTGGATAAACGAAAGGGTGGTCTCTGATTTTTTTACTGTAAGTGCAGAGTGTTGTGTTTTCTCAGAAATGACTATAAACATTAAAAAATGTCATAAATAAATTACATCCTTACAGTGAACTATAAAGAGGAAAATCATTTTTATTCATAAGCATGTGTTGATGCAAACTGAAGAGTCTGTACATGGTTTTACAAAGCATTAGAAAACTGTACAATATAAAGCTGACAGAAAATGTTACAGATCTGTAGTTGTAAAAAACTCTTAAAATGATTGGCAAAAAGTAAATCATTAGTAAAAATCATAATAAAACATTAAATAAAGATAACGAGTTTGCTTGGACAAGGAACTCATGCACCAGTGTTAAAAAGCCTGAGTCTCTTCTTGGAGAGAAATAAAGGATTGATTCACTTAAAAATGTTTTTTCATGTCAGATTCCAATTCAAACATTTGCAAATCCTTTAAGGTATGTCCTTCCTTAATGAAAAATGGCAACTACATTTCACTTCAGAAATACTGTTTTTTTCCAAAACGTAATCACAGAAACTTTTTTTTCATGCCACTGTTTAAGCTCCACCATTCAAAGATGAAGACGCTACTCTGATCTGAGAGAGACTGGTAAGACTAATGTCTAATACAGACAGATGTTACGCTCTGCTACTCTGCCCCAGTTCCGAAAAACAAACTGTGATGAATTGATGAATTTGTTTGTGTGAAACACATTAATAAAGATCATCTCTAATGCTTGGGAGTACAGGCACCAGTCTCCGTTTGAAGCAGTGATTTGCCTGGTTCTCTACAATACAACCTGGAGTGATGGATGCAATGAAGTACATCCGCCTATTTTTATGTGGTGGTGCTGTCTCAGGTTTATCATTTTCACATCGCCAGAGGGGGCGTAGAAAATATTCAGCACTTATCTGTGATAAAACAAAATTGTTGCATGATTTAGAGGAAAAACACACACTTATGCACACACACACCAGGAGTCCTGAGAAGTGTTAGAGAGAGGCTCTGATTTATGAGTTATTTCTGTCTGCATTCTGCAGTATAACACTACACAGTGTTGGCCCAGGACTGCAGCGCTTGCATGTTTAAAGGAGTAGTTCAGTGTTTCTGAGCGTAATCTCTATCTGCTGTATCCCTCTTATACCATCGATTTCCACAGAGAGTAATTTCAATACTTTTCGCTGCACTTAGAGAATAACTGAAAGCCATTTGACTTGAAACTCACTTTTTATAGAAGCTAATGGGCAGATATTCTGTGAATAAGCTTTTAGAATGTGACTGTATAAAGCTGTGGTCACACCGGACTGTTTCCTCACTATTTTCTTTGCTCAGGTAGAGCAAAAATGAAGCAATCATTGGTCCTGATGTGATGTTGTTTTTGAGGGAATGTGTAGTTTGGTGAACAGCTAACATTAACTAGGGAACTACTTTTATTTCTTTGCAACTGTGAATGACAAGTAGTTTTTTCAGAGACCATAGCTGGCTTCACTTGGCTCAAGCATCCAGGATTTGCAAATTTATGAGGGTTATACCAATTTTTTTTGTTAATGTTCAGTGCGACTGCAACTTTAGACAAATGTGACCCATATTGTGAACAAAAAAAAAAAAATCCTCACTTTTTTTTAAATAGACAAGTTGTAGCATGTAGTATAAAAACATTTGTAGTTCCAGAACATGACATTCATTTCCCAGTCCATACAGTCCACATATGGGAAGAAAGCTGCAAAAACGTTGTTAAAGTTATCGTTATTGCGATATCACAAAAACAAACACATTAATATATATCTGTTCATTAAGTCTACAGGAATTGAGTTCCTCCCATGTACAGTGACGTTATACAGAGCCCAGAATTAAGCACAATACAGGGCAGCCAATCAGAACAAAGCTCATTTATATATACCAGTCTTAAAGGCACAGTAATAAAAACAGTCTGTTTAATTGTAAGGGATAAAGAGAGGCTGGAAAATTGTCATGTAAAAAATTATTTATGATTTATAACAAATGTTACTGGTGAACCTCAGGGAAAAAACATACAAGAACAATATGGTATATGGGACCTTTTAGATGTCTAACAAAAGCTGTTCTTATGATGTTTTATGCATTTGTCAAACACTAAAAACATTTAAAAAGAAATTCCATAAGATTTTCTGGTATCTGTGCATGATAAGGCAGAAAACTACTATGCTGATTGTAGTGGAAAACTTGTCCTATGTCTGAAAAAACAAAACACACAGATTTATAGCTTAATTTGCTTTTGACTGAGGAATCTATGAGATCTAAGTGTTCTACAGAAGTACATTTGTGTATTGTATTAATGCTTAATGTTTGTTAATGTTCAGCAACAGCCCAATGGCTTCTTTTATTAGTGCGTTTTGAATCAGCGGGAGTTCTGTTAAGGGAAAAGGGTCAAAACTACTGTGAGTGGTAACAGACTGTATGTTACAGATGCAGCAGACAGAGATTAGGTTGAAAAACGCTGGAGAATTCCTTTAAAAGCCAATGAATGTGCTTGTTTTATCCTCCAGCATGTACTGTTACATGTGTGGCAAGCAGAAGTATCAGGTATTCTTTTCTTTAGATTGCATAAAAAACACAAAATACATCCAAACAGCAGGTCTATTATCAACCCATGTGAACATAGTTCTGGTCATTCACTCATACAACACACGCAGGCAGCTTGCAAAAACACAGTTATGCCAACTATAGATGGTTTAGTGGTTCAGTGTTAGCTCATCAAGTACAAGTTTTGGCGAAGGCTGGCAGGTAAATCAAAAGAGCCCAGTCAATAATACAGGAGGTTCTTGCATGATGTTTGAGAACTTAAGAAAGGATAAGAAAGGTGAGCAGCTCCACAGGAGGTCATTAAAAACAATAATTTAAAAAGGCAAACATTTTTTGGAATGGCAATAAATTACCTTATTGCTTTTTTTTCTATACATTTTGACTTTTATTATCTAAAATGTTATTTATTTTACATACTGTGAAATCATATAAATACAGTATACACTACATTACAATGCAAAATACTTTGTGTATATTGTTTCCCAAAGGAATATGATAAGGGGTTTGCTCAGGTTCAGTGGGCTTAACACTAGCACCAGTCAGAAAAAACAGATACTCCTTGGGTTTGCTCAGATCAAGGCACTTTCTGGTAACATAAATGAATCTCTCCCCCTCTTATTCCCTCGTTTTCTTGTCGTCTTTACCTCTCCGCACTCTACAGAGTCAGTAACCTTGATTTTTTTGTTGTTTGTTTCCACTGTGTTGATCAGAGCAGGAGCCAGTCCAGACTCCCCAAAGAACAAACCATCGTTGTTTTGTCCAGTCCCAGGTTCCTCTCTCTACAAGATCTTCTAAGAGAGCAAAAAGGAACAGATATGCCGTTCTTCTCCTCTCTCATTCACACTTCCATCTCCTGTCCTGGGGATGTCGGGGCCATAATGTCGAAGCAGGTCTCCATCATGACGCGAGACTTGCACAGGTTTACGCAAAACTCCAGCTCGCCTGTGGCCTGAGCCAGAGCCTCTAGGTAGTCCTGGGAGTCCTGGTCCAGATCTGGGTCCACATCAACTGAAGGGAAGGGAGGAGAACAAAGAATGTGAGAGAGGACCAAAATCAGGACAGAATATCTAAGCTATATACAGGTGTTCCTGTGGCAGGATTGTTGAGTTATGGTATTACTTCTCAGAAAGCAGACAAGCTTCCACATAAAAAATATATCTTTCCTGTTCTGCTGAACGCTTTAGGTGGTCCTGTAGTCCTACCACTTTACGCATTTTAGAGTTTTTCCTGATATCAACACACCTGATGTAAGTAACAAACTAATTAACAAGCCCTTCCTGTAGTGAACTGAGTGGGTTCTTGAAGGGAAAACACTACAACATGCAAGGCAGCTGAACTCCATGAAAAGACCAAGTTTGAGAAGCACTGGATGAGACTAAAGTACCTCTCAAATACAAATATGTTAACCTTTACGCCCAAAGGGCTTTATGTGGCTCCACATTTAATTCCTCACTATCATAGCTACAGTACATTATTTACATAGTAGTTTCTAAACAATTCATAGTAGTTACTGGATAATAAGTCTGAAGTTTGATAACAGAATACATTTAAACAAGATCCTGTAAATACTGTGTAAAATAAGACATTACACAAAACAAAATTATTCTGTGCTGAGACTTTTTAGTCGTCGAATTCAGTCAAGAATGAGATTTTGTAGTTGTTGAGTTAATCAAGAGTAAGACTTTGCAGTAGTTGAGTCAGAATCAAGCCCAAGACTTTTCAGTAGCTGATTCAAAGTCACAGCTTAAACTTTTTAGTAGTTGATTCAGAGTCAAGACAGAGACTTTGACTCAACTACCAAAAAGTCTGTCTTGACTCTCACTCACAATTACAAAGTCAAGACTAGACTTTATAGTTGATGAGTCAGAATCAAGACCAAGACTTTTTAGTAGTTGATCCAGAAACAAGACTCTTTTTAGTGAATGATTCAGAGTCAAGACTGAGACTTATTAGTAGCTGATTCAGACTCAAGAATGAGGCCTTTTAGTGGCAGAATCAGAGTCAAGACCAAGACTTTATAGCAGTCAAGTTAGAGTCAAGGCCGAGACTTTTTAGTAGATGAGTCCTAGTCAAGACCCAGACTTTGTGGTAGGCGAGTCAGTGTCAAGACCATGACTTTAGAGTAGAAGAGTCCTAGACAAGACTGACACCTTGTAGTAGTCAAGTCAGAGTCAAAACCAAGACTTGGTAGTAGTTGAGTCAGAGTCAAGAAAGAGACTTTGTCATAAAGTCAGAGTCAAGAATGAGAGATGTAGTCCTCGAGTAGAGGAGTCCTAGACATGAATGAGACTTTGTAGTAGTTGAGTCAGAGTCAAGAATGAGACTTTTTAGAAGTCGAGTCAGAGTCAGAAAAGTTCAGTTTCCAGTGACCCCAGATGGAGAGACTGAACTCAGCTGGTCTCAAGAACAATTTCTGAATCCAAATGATGTTGAGACTGAGACAGAACTCGAGTACTACAACAATGGTTTGCCGTCAATAATCAGAAGGACACAATCTATCTCTGTATCTAGGCAGAGTACACCCACCCCCTCCAGCACCCCTCAGCCTCAGAGTGAAAGCTATAGATAGGCAGATTGACAGGTAAGAGACACAGATACAGAGTGGATAGTGAGGAGGTGATGGACAGAGATGGAAAAAGCTTGCAAACACAAACATATACACCACTCTCATTTCACCCAGTGCTCAAGAGGGGCTTGATTTATAAAGCATGACTAGCCCGATCATGACTTTACCAAAGACAGCAGTCACAGATGAATGGTAAATACCCTCTGGCCAGAGGGACAAGGCTGATTGCAGGAGGGAAAATAATGCCTTATTGATTCAAGGACACACAGCGTTCTTACAGAACAAACACTCACACACACACACACACAAACAAACAAACTATCTTTCACTCTCATTCTTACACTCACTTTCTCTCTCCATTTTCCAACAGCAATTTCAATGCTTCTTTATTAAATAACATTCTAGCTTTCTTTGTGTTTGCTGCTTCTTACTCTGTTCCTCTAAGTTTGAAGGAATGCTTCTGAAAGGGGCAGATAATCAACCCACAGAGATCTACAGCCCCGTAGGCTGTTGGTTATGTCTCAACAAAGTATGTAACACTAATCACATTTTCCAAAATATTTCTTTCCACAGCTTGAAAATAACCTAGAGGCTCTGAATTTGTCAGTGAGCACTGAGAAATAGACTAACCTGCACAGCTGATTGCACTGCTATGGAGGCAAATGCTTTTGGCTAGAGGCACAATTGTCCACAAAAATATCCCCTGATTTTGCTGCAGCCTTTCATTAGCTTGTCTTTTGTATTGAATGTAGCTGTGTTCCCAAAGCTAGCCTGCAGTTCATGTGGGGTGCATTTCTAAATTGCTATGTCATAGACGGCTGTTACAATCAGAAGGATTCTCCAAATATAGTTGAGAACTGAAGCCTACATTCTGAAAACTCACTGTCTTCTGTCATACAAAATTCAAGAACTAAGAGCGACACAATTTGTACTACATGTTTAAAGGGGCACTCCAGCCAAAATGAAAAATGTAATCATTGCTGTTTCTGTTGTAAGTATGTCTTAGACTGGTGCTGCAGTTTCTTTTGAAAAACTACAAGTTCTTTAGGGCAGATACTTCACGGTAGGTTGTTTTTTCCACCAGGTGGCTAATGCAGAAAGAAGCCAGATAGCTACCGATACTGCTAGAAAGCCAGATAAAAGGCCTGTATTTGTTAGCCTCTACATCAATGGCTATGCTAGCAACCTAGATAATTTTTTATAGTGGAGGGGATTCCCAAAATATGCAAAACTGTGAATCTAACCAATGAGGCAGAGGGATACAATGTTGGGATAAAGAATATTTCACCACAATAAATGTATTAAAGGCCAGTTTTAGGCCGGAAACTTGTAACATGCAGAGTAAAACATACAGTGTATTAGTTCTTGGTTGTTATCTTTTTTAGAGGGTGCAAAGTGATTGCAGGGTATAAAATGTGTCTGCTTACAGTGAGTCATTTGTATGCAAGATAGCATTTAATTACCAACAAATTAATTTTTACTATTATTCTCATCAACACTATTTTCTCCATTAAATTCTGTGCACCGACTCTTGCGGTGACGTGACAAAGCTGACCCCCCTGTTTTGCATTATGTAATACAAATGACGGGCCTCCATAGGACAGTGCCAAAGAAGACCCACCTTTCTCAACTGAAACTAAGCTTTTGGTACTCAGCTTGTGTCTTGCGTTCATTGGATCATTAAACATTAACACTGGTTTAGCTAATAACAACAAAATTAAGATAAAAGTATAAGAACAATTCAAATCAATAGATTTATTTACAAGGTTGTAGTTCAAAAAAACAAAATGAGTCAAACAAAAGAGATTAAATTAAGTTATGAGTCATTTGGAATTCTTAGCAATTAGTAAACTCCTAGCAAAAATATTTTAGTTTAATGCTATTCTTGCTAACTTGCTATTCTTGTTACCTCAGCACACTCTAGTAAATCCACAAGCACCAAGTTCAGAAACTCAATTTATTGCTGTAAAGAGGACTATTAGCCTACACAGCACTAAACAGTGCTTAAAGCCATTTCTGCTGTCTTTGATGCTTGTTAGCATATTTGCCTGATCAACACCGAAGCCAACATAAAGACACACTAATACACCTTTTACACTATACACTACTACACTAAATATGCCCCCAGAGACAGCCTAATCTTCTCAAGAGCTATCATGCTCATGAGTATCACATTACTTCTCTCAAAGCAGCTCAATACCAGTATTTGAAGCATCTTGTCTTTGCACAAAGATAAAAACATATACACTGAAAAAGGTAATGCACCAATGGGACTGTATGAATAAAATATTGTCATTGACACGCCATCATTTAAAAATGTCAGTTGTCCTTTACATTGTGTGAACATTGCATGGCAAATGGACCAGCAGAAATCCATTGTAATTAGTTGGAATTGGATCTTCCTGCACGTACTTACAATAAAAGTTAAGAATGTTTTTCCTTTCTTTCTGAATTTACCTCTAAATTCTAGAGATACAAGGTTGCAGTAGGACAGTGATGACACATCAACACAATCACTGTCAGTAAATAATTCAAGCGAAAGACGAAACTGTGTTGATTCAAATATACATTTGAATCAAGGACTATTCCTTGACTGCCAGCACCTGATGGAATAGATATAAATCTGCTATTAAGTATTGTACATGGAAAAGTCTGCAAGTGTAAAATGTTTCTATTTATAATTTTACTAAGAATACAGGCATTTTACATGTCTGTACAGAAAGCCATTGAAATTCTGTTTCAAATATTACTAAATAAAGATGCTCTGAGGTATGTTTCCACATACATATATTTATTGAATATAAAAGCAATACTTTTAAGAAGAATATATGTAATTATGTTTCAAAAAAATATAATGATTTTCTGCATCCTTTAGTTTTCTACCCCACCATATCAATTTATTTAGCCATAAAAATAATGTTCTATCGTATTAAATGACATGATAAAGTGACATTATTTAAGCTCAAAAGCTGGTAAATTTTTTGCTTATTAAACATTGAAAATCTGTTGTTCTCTGAAACCTTAACAGGGTGTGTCAACCATATGTCCACCCTGTTACACAAAACAGTTTTTGATGAACTTTTGGAAAAATTTGGAAAAACTTTGGAAAATCCATATCATTCCCTGTTAAAAAAGTGAGATTATATCCTTGACAATAGGGAGCAGCCAGATTTTCATGACACATGTCACCCCTCAATTAGAAATTCGGTATAATGCGTTTGGACTTAAGAGTTATTAGACACAGAAATGTTAAAATACAGGTGGGAAAATCTGTTTTGGTGGTAAAAGCAATATGTAATTGAAACTATAGAAGACCAAATTTCAAACTAGTTTGTCCATTTGGCACAGACTTATGGCATGACTCAAGTCAACTGAATGCATTACTCTTTTCGATATCCTTCGGTCCAGCAGTTACAGAACTACCCTGTGCTTACTACTCATTGCTGTAAAATAATAAGCAGTGAGCAAAAATCATTAATTGCTGGATCAAAGTCCAAAGTACCAAAGTAAGGAAACTCACAGTCTCCCATCCACTTGGCGGGGTCCAGCATTAGCCGAGTCTTGGCGTCCTCCAGCTCCCTCTTCAGCCTCTCGTGCTTGGCCCGCAGCTCCCTGATCTGCTGCTGCCGCTTCTCCAGCATCCTGAGGCGAGCGTTGAAGTACTGCAAGCCCTACAGGGAGAGACAATGACGGGACAGCAGCTGAGCGACGACTGAGCTGTGCTTAGTGAACTGTACAGCTCAGCATGTGTGCTGCTGATAAATTGCCAGGTAAAGCTCGGGGACCTGCGCCAGGCACCTGCTCGCTACTGAGGGCTCCACTGTGGGTGCAGGTTTCCAACACTGGAGCTTAAAGTAAATTGAGTCACGAGTAACCTGTGCGAGGTGCCAGTCCATTGGCCGGATTAATTAAGGCAGAGCTGGAAATAAAATTAGCCTAAGCTCTCGCTAGCCCTAAATCTCCTGAAGGGACGTTTGCTTAAGGGATTAAAAAGAGGGAACATGACCACGAGGAACAAATTATTAGGTTATTAAAAGGTAGAATAACAATACAGATTATCCTAACCCCTGCCCTTTGTATCCTATCACTGGAGCAGACACTGGAAATGTAGTGTTTTTAATTCCTTTTACTGTTTACAGTCCTTTTTTGCGCATTATGGGTGAATACGTTTTTACCTCGCCATGCTACACTATTGTGCAGAATTCAGAGACTATCCTCTATTTATTTCATATTCAGTCAAAATGGCTTTTAAGCACAAGTTATTCATTTTTATATTTCTAAGAGGATTAGATATAAGATAAGCAAAGAAAAAGAAGAGGAGGTTGGAAAAGGTTATGGACTGATGATGTCTTTGGTATTACTTGTTATTACTTATATCATAATAAGCAGAAAATGCAACCAACTTCTAAGACTGAACTTTGATGGTGCGGAAAAAAATCCCAGCAGATTTTTTTTGAAAAACTGAAAACACAAACAAAATTGGAAGTTTTTATAAAAGGCAAAGGGTGAAAATACTAAATGCTGAAAATATTTATATTGTATTTAGTTGTTGCGGCTTCTCTGATATTTTCTGTTTAATATATGTTTTCTGCTTTTCCCTTAATACTGGAAAATGAATAGATAGATAAATGGATGGATGGATGGATGGATGAATGCACAGATAGATACATAGATGGATAGATAGACAGATGGATAAGTAGATAGATCACTTTATTAATCCCAGAGGGAAAGTCGTCTTGTATATCTTGTACATAATGGCCGTTTTGACTGGAAATTAAATGAAAGGTGGTCTCTGACTTTTGCACAGTACTGTATGTATGAACATTTTGGCCTCATACATTTTTAACTGCTCCGCAATTTCAGCACACTTGCTTTGTTCACTTTGTGCATTTGGGCCCCATCCATCCACTCCAATAAACATACCTTTTCAACATCCTGAAATGGCTGACAGGAAGTAGGAGGGAGGAAAGAGAGAGATGTTTGAGTATGCTAATGCAAATATAACAGACACACAGAGATGAAGGCTCTATCGCTCTGTCTCAGACACTCAAATAACATAAATGAGAATATTCTGCTAGTCATAAAACCACTCCTTCCCCTTCACACACACATACACTCACTCACATGCAGAGTAAAAAGCTCTTTTTTTGACTGTGAGCTGCCAAGCTCTCAAAGATGAATCAGAGGTCGTGTTCTCTTAATTGAAAATAAATCATGGCACCTTTCGATGAAGTCAATGTCTTCTCCACACAACTGGTAGGGCATGGAGAGCCAGGCCTGTGGGAACGGTTAATGACCCGTGGCTATGCAGCACAGAACGAGCCATAAAGAGCCATCAGGCAGGCCGCAGATTGAGAGGCCACACCTCATTCATCACGGTACCCCACCCTCACTCTGAGCTTTGGTACCAGCCCACCCAAGCTCCAGCTATCAGTCATATCCACATCAATTAGGAGCCATCAGTAATTGTTCCTGAGACAACCTCCCCTCCTGACAAATGCAAATGCCACACACTTGCGGAAATGAAGACGGAGAGAGGAATATTGGATACAACCGCTGATGCTTGCAGTTTTTAATTAATGCCACGCTCAATTAGGAATGGTGAGCTGCACTGTCCTCTTCAAGCCATCACACTGTGACCGCGCTGTGTGCAGGACACAGAAATGAACTTCGGACATCCTCAAAGGAGGAAAGCTTTTCATCTGACAAATCTGCACACCTTTGACCATACCCCTCCTTGTTTGGGTCAATTTGATCTGTTATGAATTTTTACTGAAACCATACTACAAACTTAAAGATGAAAAAAAAAAAGTAAAATAATTATTCGTGTTTAATTGCATTATTTTGTCTAGTCAATCGTGATGAACCACATTTGTCTTATTTGTTCAAGTTTTACATCAACGAGGGATTCAATTAAAAAAGCAGTGTATTTTGTTAGAGCTATATAAGCGACTAAAATAAACTTCATCAAAATGTACTTAATAATTTCAATAACTTGATAATTTTATTTGTTATTGAGTGAATTTTCATCACCAATGTCTAGTGTGAGCAACAGTGGCTGCATGTTCCAGCTAAAGAGTGTATATATCATATAGTTGTATGCAAAAGTCTAAACCCCCCTAGGCAAATTATGCGTTTTTCTAAGTGAAAACTTGTTAACATATCCTCTACAGACAGCACACTTACACATGGTAAACATGTTTTTCTGCAAATTTTACTGCGCAATTTCTATTTATCTGCTGAGTTTAACACATTGGAAAAAATAAAACATAACATAAAATTGTGCCATAACTTTTGCACAGGCCACATTTTATTTTATTTTTTATTTTTTGTAATATGTTAAATTCAGCAAATTAACAGTAATTGTGCATTAAAATGTGAGAAGAGTGTTCTCTGTAGGATGTGTTAACTTATTTTCACTTAGAAATTCAACAAAACTGTAATTTGACCGGGCGGCACGGTGGCGCAGCAGGTAGCAAGAATGGCCTGGGTTCGATTCCCGGCCGGGCGACCAGGGTCCTTTCTGTGTGGAGTATGCATGTTCTCCCCGCGTGGGTTTCCTCCGGGTACTCCGGTTTCCTCCCACAGTCCAAAAACATGCAGTCAGGCCAACTGGACATGCTAAATTGCCCCTAGGTGTGAGTGTATGTGTGTGAATGTGTATGTCTGTCTGTCTGCCCTGCGATGGACTGGCGACCTGTCCAGGGTGTATCCTGCCTTCTGCCCAATGACAGCTGGGATAGGCTCCAGCACCCCACCACAACCCAGAAGGATAAGCGGTTTAGATGATGTATGTACGTATGTATGTATGTATGTAACTTGACCAGGGGTGAGAAAACATTTGCATATGACTGTATATCATGTATATGGTTCCAATTCCTTGACAATTGTAGAACTTCTGCTTTTGCTGTCATACGTACAACTTGTGGATTCAGTTACAGTGGAGTAGATGTGGGCAATATAATATTTTACCATTATTTTACCATGTTGTGGATACTATACTCTTAAAGAACACTGATCAACCCTATGTTTAATTTAAAAGAGAGCACAATTAGTCCTGCTGAAATAGATTTAATTGTTTTAATAAAAACAATTTTACTCATAGTTTTCGATGGCAATTTTAAATGTGCATTGTGAAAATGTCTTTAAATATTGTGATACTATGATATTTTTGCCATATATTTTCAATGGGAACTGGTGCTTTCCACTGTTGTTTTTGTTAGTTTGCTGCTCATTGATTTGAGCATAGTCCAGCATAGTCTATTGAAGGTGCTGAAGGTCTTGCTTTAAAAGCATTTAAGCCATGCTCTATTTGAATGAGAAGGCTACAATCACAGATTCTATCACAGCAACATACAGTGCTCAAACAGCTGTGTTTCAGCTTGCACTATTACAGATGGTTTGAAAAGTCAAACTCCGAAAATGTGTTAACTGCTTTAAAAAAGGTGATGTTATAAATATTACGTGTTGATGCATATTTAACGTTTTGACGTGCTAACGTTAACAGATCTACTTTTTAACATTCAAATGTACATACTGTTTTCATGTCTGTTATTGTGGTACCACATTCTGACCTGAAAAGTAGTGCTCTCTTTCTTTGCTTCCCTAAATCAGCATAACCAGCAATGTCAAGGCAATGATCATACAAAACCACTATATGTAATACGCATTCCTTGAGCTTATCATCATTCCTGGTTCTCTTTACTGGATGTCTTTACTTTAGATTTTATATCTAGCAAAAGCAAATCACTGAAAGGATCCTTGGTAAATGACATGATTTGAAAAATGAGACAGCAATTAGACCTCTGAGATTGTATTAAGTGAGTAAGACATTTCAACAATAACTGCACAAACAAAACACTCCAACAGCATGCTCTCAAGCTACTCAAGTACGCTTCGCCTGGCAGACATTCATCATACATGCAGATTCAGTATAGGATAGAGTGCTCTCACCTCCGTGACCATGCCCTCCTTGTGCCTCTGAAGCCGCTCCACATCATCTATCTCGTACACCTTAATCTCAAAGGCCTCCTTCAGGGTGCCTCCCAATGGAGGCAGGTCCACCCACTGGCCTGCAGCACCAGCCTTCCTGCCTAGTGAAGAAGTGTCCGGTAGGGGAGCAGGGATCAGTCGTCGCCGCTGCAGCCCTGGAGGGGTCAGACAGGGCAATGCTCTACATCTGGGCCGAAGATGCACACCAGGAATATCCAAGGGTTTGTAGGCATGCTTTTAAATATGTATGTGGCTTGAATGCAGTTACTGCATTTAAAGGTAGAAGCGATTTCAAAATAGCAGTCAACTCCAGCATGAGGCTGATAATGTATGCATTAAGGGCAAGAATGTATCTTCTGCATTTTACTCCAAAAATGAATTACAGAGTTGTGCTCAAATCCCAATGAAGTGAATGCCCCTTCAGATAGGCTTTACAAAGATACATCATTTACTTCACAATGTCATGGCACTTCTGTTATACAAAGATTTGTGATAAGAATATGAACAGCCAGAAAAAGTCCATATGCAAACTGTGGAGTCATTCAAAGGAATGGGATTTCCCAGGCATGCACCAGTATATTTTGAGCTGTTCGATGAACACGGACATGGTGTTAAAGCACATATGTAATAAAGGGTTGATGTTACATTTCAATGATGCAATTCTGCAGAGAAAAGGTATGAAGTATGACAGGTTATCAGTAGTACTATAGCTACGCACACATTGTTAGATGAAGCAATCTAGGCATAAGAAATTCATATGTCCTTGAAAGCATTAAGAAAAGTGCCAGGCTCCTAATCTCACCCTTACATCAAATAACCCAAAGAAAGAAAGCACATCGGCATCAAGTAATGGCTGAATATTCCTGGTATCTACGACAGACATCATTTCTTTGGAAAGTTCAGTTTAAAATGCATTAGCTCCTGGCTGCCTTGGAAATGAAACCTACCATTGGCTCTCTTTTTGGGAGACTTTGAGACCTTGGCTCGGCTGGAAGTAGACACTCCGCTCTCGCTCATGGAGTCATGGGCTGATGATGTACTGCCTGTAGTTTCACTATCCCTGATCATGCTTTCATAGCCACTGCTGCCTCCACTGTGGTAGAAGAGTGCCGTGCGACCCATGGCTGGAGGAAGCTCCCCACTGAGGACACTGCTGTTGTCACTGCCGTGGCCACTGCTGTAGCGTTGAGGTCGCCGAGGAGCAGTGATCTTGCTGTAGGGTGAGGGTAATGCAGCAGGCATTGAAAGATCACTGGGAGTGGAGCCAAAATCACTTGCCTGATCACCAGATCCCTTGATGTGCTTCTTGGAGCTGCCTGATGCTAGCTCGCTAACACGGCTGTTAGCTGCACGAACAGCTTGTTTTGTGCCCATTATGGTACCCTTGCCTGGTTTGCCATTGGCACCAAGAACAGAACGACTTGGGGGTTTTCCAGTTGGAGGTAGACTTGCATTCTGTGCAGAAATTGATTTGGTGGAACTCAAAGCTTTGGAGCCATTAGTAGACAAGGACTTTGTTTTGTTTCCATTGCTAGCAATGGCTCTAGGGGTTATACTGGCTTTAATTTGCCCCAACTTACTGACTCCAGAGGAAGTAGATGATGGAGGAGAAATGGGCAAAGATGTGGAACTGGTTACCCCAAGTCTGGGCACAGTCCTATTTGACTTGCCATTGCTGCCCAAGCTGGCACTACTGCTCTCTCTCAGTGTCCCTTGTTTAGATCTAACTGATGTTAAGCTGTCGCATCTTTCAAGAGACAAAAGACTGCCAAAGTATCTTGCCGTGTCTCCTTTTGTTCCTCGTGTCTGAAGACTAGACCCTGCCTTTAAGCTGGATGATTTGAAGCTAAAAGATTCCCCTCTGAACTGAACATCAAAATCCTCCTCAGAGACTGATGCTTTGGATGAGGAAGATCTGGTCGCATCATTGCCCAATGACCTTAAGGCACTAGGGGACAGCAAAACCCGTGTCCTCTGGTCCAGGCTTGATTTTCGGAGTGGTGGGGCAGGGGGTGACATGCTGCCAGACTTTGGGAGCATGCTCCCTTTCTGGCCATTTGCTCTCTTCCCTAAAGATGAGAATTTCAAACTAGCACTTGTCTGTATGGTATCATGACCCCACTTGGTCTCCGTAGAGGTTTGGGGCACTGAGACCATGCCAAGTGTTGTGGCCCCTCGTCTGAGTTGAGGCATTCTGCTTAGACTCTCGCCCTTCTTAACACTGGATTTCTCACAACCATCCACCACCCTCTGTGATGAGGAGGATATGGGTATTTTGGGAGATCGTGGTACACTGTTGCTATTCCCACCCATTTTTCTGGAAGGAATTCCAGTCAAGCTGCTTTTAGATGGCTTGCTGGCAGAGATGAACTCTGTATTTCTTAAGTCTAACTGGCCACTAGTGTGCATCCACTGATCATCTGTCCTGTTTCCTTGCTGCTGCAACTCATGGCCGCAGCTGCTTGTTGAAGCAACAGATGAGGTAGGTTTGTTTTTTCTAGGGAGAGTAGAATGAGGAATGCCTGGAATCTGGACAGATGAGCTCAGGGTACTTGACTTTACAGGCTTTTGACCTCTTAGAGATGTTTTGGCAGTGTCATGAGGTGGAGGGCACTTAGTCATTTTCTCAGAGGTTACAGATTCGTAGTGCAACTCTGAAAAACATATTGCACTTTCACTGAAGGAGCTCTTTGCGCCTTGCTGGGAGAAAGACTCCATACTTAAAACACCAGGTATGTCCATTGTTGATGTATTTCCAAGTCTTATGCCCATTCCCCTTGATAAAAGGCCTCTTCCTGAATGTGTGCCATCGGTACCAACATTTGTTTTGCTTGGCCAAGAGCCTTTGGAAGATTGCACTGTGCTGTGTCCAGAAGAGAGCTCTTCTTTTGACCTTGCTTGGCTTATCAGTGCACGGTCTATTTGGGCCGTGTAAGCATCAAACTCATCATTAATGCTGCTGATTATACTGACTGGACGAGAGCCAGAGGCTAGAGCCTGCAAAGAACAGTCACTGTTGAAGCTGATGATGCTAGAGGGTCGACCATTGTCGGGAACAAGACCAGCAGGCAGCTCCTCTACCACAGTGAACACCAGTTCATCCTCCCCATTCAGCTCTACAGGCTGCTGAAGAGTGACAGTAGTCCTTAAAACATCTCTGTCTAGACATCTGCTCCTCAGAGCTGCTCGAAGGTGGCTCACCTCCAAGGGACTCCTACTAAGATGATGAGTTTGGTCAAGGACTGGGGAACCAGCACACTCTCCTTGCCTAAGTGCTTGTTGGCTCATACCCACTGGAGGTGTTCTTGTGGCTAATCCACCATCAGTGGCCATATCTGAGGTTCTGTGCAGTGAAAGGGAGGCATGGGGTTTTTGTACAGTCCCTTTGCTGAGGTAGACCTTCTCTCTTACAACTGGCTCAGAGTCTTGAGCTGAAGTTCTACTAGGCTCAGATACAGCACCATCTGAGGGCAATTTGAAATGTTCCATGTGAGCAGGCTTTTGGAGGGATGATTTAAGTGTCTTGGGAGAGACCGGAATCCCCTCTGTTGCTTTTCCAGCTCCACTCTGAGCCTTTGGGGCTGTCTGGGGTGCTTTCCCTTCACCGGTAAAAGCAGATGTGCTCTCACTCCCATCAATGCACTCCAGTCGCTCTTGTAACTCTGCAAAAGTGTTACATTTCAAATGGTCTCCATCTGATTTAGGTGCCTCTTTTGCTCGCTTTTTGTTCAGTGAGGGAATTATGGGAACAAAGGCAGGTGGGCCCTCATTATCGCTTAGTTCACGGTCAGAAATAGTGGCACCTCCAGGCCCCACGTAGATGACTGTATCGCAGGAGTGCTCACTGCTAGAGGAGTAGTCCGGGTCGCTGGACAAAAGTGTAGGGTGGTCCGGGTCTAGAGCCACCGTCCTGGGGTGGAAGGGTCTTAAATGAGCTGGTCGTCGGATTTGTCCCTCCTCACAAGAGCTCTCTCCTCCTGAGGAACTGGAAGTATACTGTAGGACACAAACAAAATGAGAACATTAAAGGTGTTAAATAGCTCTTTCTTTATGTACAATCAATTTGCTGTATAATTACTTGTCAATATCAGGAAAGGTCAAAAGTGTACTCCAGAGGCAAGACAAATATTAATGTCAACACAATATATTCAATATATTGGCTTGTACGTTGGGTTCCCGAATGGCTTAACACAGTCTATGAAATATTAACAAAAGCTGTCAAAGACTACATTAATAATGTTGGAAATAGGCATCTGTAATCTGAACACCTGAATTATATTCTCTCTCAGGAGCAGCAACACTGATTGCCACTAGCACAACACTGAGAGATTCTGTCCACAGATTAATTTTTAATTTTTTTTTTATTTATTCTCAGAAATCAGGCACATTTACAAGCAGCTGAATTGATAATTATCCTTTTGTGGATCAACATATGCATGAATACTTTACCAACAAGAAATTCTGTCTAAGTAATTTGAATAGTACTGTATGTATGTGAATAAAATCACACAAAATACAAAAAAGACCAATGAATTGGCGATCATGCCTTGGATTTCTTCTTCCTCATGCGGTGGATGCGGGAGGCTAGCTGAACAGTGGAGAGTGACTCAGTATAATTGGCCGGCGAATCAGAGATGTGGGCGATCATGGTGGTTCTGCAGTTGATGTTGCCCAGTGACTCCCTCAGCAGCATGGTGAGCTTGCTGTCCCTGAATAATACATCAAAAAAAATCCTTTCATTAGCCAAAAATGATACCAGACCGAGTGGAACCCTATCCTCTTTTCTCTAAGATCATAGAAAAGAGATACTGGTCATGGATAAGGCACTACAGAAAATGAATGTTCTCCACTTCTGATTTCCTCTTTTAACTCTAAGCATTTATGCTTTTCCAGTTGGAGAAAATGAACTGCTTTCTCATCACGTCAACTGCTTTCTTCACCATCCCAAAACCGCACCTTCTTCATTCAATAAATCTCCAGCAAACCAAATTCCTGTCAATAACATTCCACCTCTATCCATCTCCTACTCCTACAGCCCCTCTTGCTCTTCCAAGTGGGGTAATTGGATTCATTGATCTGAGGAAATGAGAACTGAATTCCCATATGCAGATCAGTGTGCTCTATAGGTGCCCTCAGACACATCATCACACCTTATTGAGCTGTACGTTACAAAAGGCTTACCTGTAAGGAACATGCTTGGCACCGTTGGCCAAAGCAAGGATGACGTTCCCCAGGGCAGCTAATGATAGACACTGGCCCCCTCCTCCGTCCCTCGTCCGGCTGAGGTCAGGTTCACAGCTGCCGAGGTCCAGGAGATGCAGACGACTCCGACCCCCAGACACTATAAGGGGACAGATTAAAAGAGGCTTTAATCCTTAGATGTCTAGAGGTTTTTTAAATGTTTTGCTATACTAATCAAATGTAATTTTGCAATTATTAAATTGTAATGTAGTAAATTACATTAATGTTTGATTTTGCTTTCTGCATTGACAGGTCTGGATCCGCAAATCTGACCGTTTTCTTTTTGATTTAATATCAGGAAATGAAAAAATTATAGCAAAAAGTATAAATGACGGTTTACAATGATACCCATTGCAAGAAAGATGTCAATGCTGCAATCTTAGCACTTCATTAATAAGTAAACCAGTGCACAGCAAACTAGCCCTTGTTAAATGAACACCTTGAGGCAGAAGTGTGACAGTCTCAAATGTCCTATCTAGAGCAGCAATTCATTTATTTCTTGTGTCTTTACTGTCAAGACTAAAGTTAGATTATATTCCCATGTAGGCCACTATCCTAAAACCCAGTCAATATCATTAAAGGAGAGAGATGATGCATTTATTTCACACGGAGGAGGAGACCATTAACCTTGCGTCAGCAAGATTTAGATAATCAGGCACCCACACCAACAACCCTCCATGGAGCGGGGAATGCAAACTAGCCTCTCACTCATGCCAAGCACTATAAACATCGCAGAAGAAGAGACTTTAACCTCATTACATATTGAAATTTATTCTGGCAGCGGCCAGTGCCTGGCCTGCACCCCAGCGACGGGAGTGAAATTCTAATGATAAAGAGAACATTGATAGACGAGCGTGATATGAGGCAGCGCGTGTAAATGAAACTCAACTAGCCCTATTTGTTTGCATTCTTGTACAGTCATTATCAAGAAGGTCACATTTAGCTAATTAATGCGTGAATGGAGGAAAAGATAACGGTTGCACAACTGTGAACAAACAGCAATGGTTTTCTTCAAATTGAGAAATAATGATCTCTATGATAAAAAATAAATCATTCCCTATTCATTTGTGAGTGGAAATATTTCACCTTAGTCGTGAAATATTACCATTTTTACCATACCATTTTTATGTGATGTCAAGGCTTCTTTTGTCTGATGCTGTAAATGTATTAGGTTGTGGTGCACACTGTATTTACTTTTTCTTCTGAAGTTCTTATTGATTCTTAATATTGTACAATTCAGTAAAAATGTCAGAGACCACCCTTCTTTTATTTAATTATCAGTCAAAACAGCAATTAAGGACAGGTTTTACACTGAAACAAATGGTGCTTTGAATTAAAATGTGTCTATAAAATGTGACCAAATGTGTCAAGCGGTGCACATGAATAAACTGCATTACATGAACACAATAATTGCCAAAACAAGTAAACTTAAAGAAAGCAATTGTTGTCCTTTCACGAGACTTGCTTTCAGTTTTTCAAAGAAAAAAAGGGTTCAGTCTTAGAAGTTGGTTCAAAGAGCCATGTTCATAAATAAAATGTGTGATTGTGAAGAACTTTTATAAAATAAAAAGGACCTCCAATTAACTTTCTCCTACACTCCTTCAAAACCTTGTAATGGATGGCTCTTTGGAAAACAAGTTTTCAATAAGCTGTGAGTGTGAAGAAGCTCTTTAATTTAAAGAAATAGTTCAAAGAAATTCCAAATAATGTAAAGACATAGAAGGTATTTTTGCTTCTTATGATCTGAGTAATCCCCAACACCTTTAGTGATGTTAAGGTCTGGACTCTGGGGTCCTTTCAGACCCATAGTGTTCAGACTTCTCCCAGTGGAAGAATGGACAGAAACACCTGTGGATTTTTTCAGATCTGAAGCAAAAGTGGAGATGCTGCACTTAATGGCCATATTGACTGGAAAGTAAATAGATAAAGAATTGAATAAATTCAAAAAACAAATTATTATTATTATTATTATTATTATTATTATTATTCAGTATACGGTTTTAATCATTTGTCCAACTTTTGGACTTCACAAAGATATATCTCTCTGCACATATCTGTCTCCATCTCATACACAAAAAAAAGAGCACATGTGGCCGTACTTCCTCCCTTGGCGCTTTTCTCCATGCGGTACTGGGTGACATGTAGAGTGAAGAGCATGTGGGAGTTACGACGCTGCTCTTCTTCACACTCAGGTTTGCTGGTGCTCCGCGCTGCTAAAGCTGAGTCCAGGAAAAACGCAGCCCGCTCTGCAGAGCACGCCCGCAGCTCACTCTGATTCTGAAGCTGTACACAGAGAATAATCAACAAGATAAAGCAAGAACACTCAAAAAGTAATGCACCGAAAGCACTTAATACAAATGTGTCCATCATTTCCACATGAATAAAATATATTACATCATCACAAAATTGAGTATTATATTAGTTTACTGGCTTATACCAAAAACATCACATGAAAACATATAAGCAGTACCTGGGATCCAGAAACAGGGTCCTCTCTCAGGTAGACCCCCGCCCTCTGGGTGCCCTGGGACGTGCCTGGAGAGAAGTCAGCTAGAAGATCGGTCAGAACCTCCTCCCTGCCGCTGATCTCCACAGCCGAAACGCGCACAGAGAACCGCACACCAGCCTTCTCCTTCCGCTCTTCGATCAGCTTAAAGAGCCAGGAGATCGCACAGGGGGCCACGCCCAAACTCTGGGTGGAGCTGTCTTTGCCAATCATGGTGTAGGTTTTGCCTGTGGAGAACAGAGCAGAGATGAAGCCAAAAAGTCTAGCACTGAAGGAAAGATGCTTGTTAAAATCAATACACTTCAGGAGAGAGGATGCTTTGCCTTCCGCCAGACATCTAATAACAGACTGTCTGCAAAATACAAAAAATACACTCAAAAAAACCGAGCCAAGGTGACTGTTTAACAAACTGAAAACATGTCAACATGAACTCACAGCTGTTTCTGGCTTTTAGTCTGTAGTTCTGCTTTAATAATGTGGGTAACACTTCAGTATAGGAGACTTTATAATGTGCTTGCTATGCCCTTATTAAGCCTTATTAAGCCAGCAGCTGGTAATTAACTCGCTGGACATAACTACTTTATAAATAAATAACTAGGGTGAATTAAATATTTTCCAGAGCATTTGTCTTTATGTATTATACATCATAATCTTTTGGACAGCAATTTAGGTGTTTCATTATAATGCCCTAACTAATACATTTATTTAATAAAATCACTTAAAACAAGTACAAAATAAGCCCAGAAATGAGAAATTTTAGATATATCAACTAGACTTTAGATGACTGAAAGATAATTTCATTTGCCAAGACACCATGTTTGGCAGCACTAGGGTCCTGCAAAAGGTGGCTGACACAAGTAGGAAGTGCCATCTAGCTATGCTACAAACAACAATGCAAAACACCTTCATAACAAGCACTGTTAATACATTTAGAAAAGCTTAAATAACCTACTAGCTGTGAGTTCTGACTAGGACTCAGAGCAGCAGGATGGCACTCTCTTTATGTGAGAGACAGTGCAATGCATGAGCTGACATATACATGTCGCAAACTCTGATTGGTGTTTTGGCAGATCTGACAATGTAAAAATGTAGTCACCAAAATCACATCAAACAAAGGAAAATGGCAGAAAAATCATTTAAAAATCTCTTAATAGAAAAAAAAACAATAGCATTCGTTCTCTGGCAGTTCGTAGTAAAACTTCACAAAAACTATATATAATAGAAGATAATCATAAAAATGGGTAGACAGGCTTTAATGAGACAAAGTATCTGAATGTAGTGTGATATAAGGTTAACTGCAATTGTATTTTATATTCAGGTAACAAAGTCTCTATATGACTTTGTTCAAACAATATTTAGTGTATTTATATAATGACACAGATGAAGCGCAGGGTATTTTTATCACTCTAACCAATCAGAAATGATGCTGTACTGAAATAGAATGTAAGAAAGAGTAAGAAACCACAGCATGTTCTAACACATGTAAATTATGTGGCAATACTTATTACACTAATTAACTGTAAATGTAATACGGATGTAATCGGATTGGTGATAATTAAAAAGATACAAAATGACAGAAGCCACTGCAACGAAGCAAGGAAAATAAGCACGCAGACTGACTGTGGAGGATTGGCGCTGCGCAGCAGGAGGCAGACAGCCTCCCAGTCAGGGGGTGAACAGAAGTGAAAAGAAAGAAAGGGAGACTGGAGCTATTTCCAAACAACAAGCACAAAACTTCACACTCAACTACCAGCATTACTAATTAAACCCATCATTAAATACACCCAGCTCGCCTCATCTTAACATGACTCATTCTGAAAAGAAAATGTGAACAATGTGCCATCCTTAAGAGGGGAAGGTTAGTAAGAGAGTGACGTTGAGGCTAAAAGCCCTTACTCTCCAGGCTTATTTTCAGTTATTAATTTTAAAATCTTATTATTTAGTATCTATGATCAATTATTCAGTAACTAACAGGGAATGATGTGGTTTTTAGAATACAGGGGAAAGTCATTATTTTTGTTTACGTAACTGAGTATTAATATATGGCATATGTAGTTCTGAGTAAATAAATAAACGAATGTATTAGCTTGTAAGCTAAGTGCAAATTTCACTGAGCATATGACAGAGAATATCAAAGAATGTCAAAACAAACGCAACTGATACTGTGCTTCATTCTAAGCAAAACTTCCATGTCAGAGTGTGAATATTTCAAACAGGTGAAAATTCTGTAAAATGTAAAGGCGTCCCACTGTATTGTTCTGTAAGTCAACTGGTACTGTTTTAAACATATACACTTAAAACACAAAGTCAAATAAACTAAATCAAATCAAAAGAATGATCAGATCACTCTATGCACACTGTGATACCCTTCTGAGTTTTTTTTTCTTTCCAATATGGAAACTGTTAACCTCTTAAAATCCCAGGTTTATTACATCCTAAGGTTTATTATACAGTAACTACAATAAGAAATGCAAACTGGCTGGCTAATGTAAGCAAAACCTGACAATCAGATTGATATCATTAAGCTGGGTATACACTACACAACTTTTACAGTTCACATACTTTTACAATTCACATTTCAAAAACAGAGGGCATCACACACTTAGCGTCAATCTTTTACAGGATATCTTATATTTAGACAGTTTAAGAACAGCAAGACATCAGACAGTAAGGCACCTTCAGCTATGAAATCCAGCTATGAAAAAGCACTAAAACCCCAAATAAAGCTAAACTGGATCAGATCTATTTGTGCCTTTATGCACACATAAGAAGTGCAGCAAAAACACAAAAACACAAACTGATGAATATGAAGTTGAGAAATGCAAAATTACATTCTATTCCACAGTGAGAGCTGGAGAAATTTTTCACCACAAACTGGCAGCTAACTTTCAAAAAAATGTAAACACAGATGACAAAATCTCTTATTGCCCTTGTTTAGCAAGCAGCTCCTCTACATTTGCCTTTTTTCTCTTTCCTAGCTTTCTCATTGGCTGTAACTTGTGAAGTTGTAAAAATCAAGCATGTTGGAAAACATCAGAAGGCCTCCATTCACTCCTGAGCTCGATCAGATGGCTAGAGATTGATTTATTTCCCTTCTCACACTAACAGATCATCTGTGCCATCAATCACTTCAGATCAAGCTTCCCACCTGAAAATCATTTAAGGTTTTGAAAACGTATTGGAAAGGGCAAACCGAGGTTGAAATGGTGCTAAACGTCAGGTAGTGTATGGCCAGCTTTAAGATATTAAAATAGGTCTAATATCTGCTCAAACATGTAGATATTCAAATTCCAAAAGAGGTAAAAAAAATGGGTTATTAGAGTTTACAGAGTTAATATAACTCCAATACAAGTCAGATTAAGGGAGAAGCAAGGAGGGGTGGGTGCTCACTGAGGTTGGCATGTCCAAAACAGAAGATGCAGCCGTCTGCCCCGTTGACCACAGACTGAATGACCTCAGCCACAGTGCCTGAACACACCTCTGCCTGCAGAGACAAGGAGCACACAAATGACACAGATCATTAAATACTTTACTGTAAAATATTTGGCAATAGACCAAAAAAAACCCTAGGTCTAAATAGATACAGTACACAGGTCAGAGGCCACCCTTCATTATTTAATATTCAGTCAAAATTAACTGCAGTCATAACTAAGTACAAGTTCATTCATTTTTCAGGAGATGTATCTGAGGTTGTAAAATATAAGATAATCTTTCTGCATAACGAAGAGGAAAATAAGTGAAAAATTAAGGGTAACACTTTTTTTGGATGGTCCACTGTAGATGCTTTGTAGATACTCAGTATATCTTTAACTAACATTCAACTAAATGTCTATTAAATGAAACTGAACTTGATGTGTGTGTGAAAGGATCTATTAAATCTAACCCTAACCCTAAATCTAACCCTAACCTCAAGGCAAAACCTACACCTACACCTACTCCTAGACCTAACCATAACCTTAATGTTGTTGATAATCAACTATCATCGGAAAGGTTGGTAATAATTTAAGTAGCTGTAGATCATCTATAGGGGACCATTCAAATAACGTGACTGACTTAAGTTTCGAAAACTGGAGTTCAAAAATGATTTAAAGATGTACTTAAATTAGGACAAGTAATTCAACAACTGTAGACCACCAAAACTGTCACCATCAGATAAACACTACCTAAAGCTTTCATCTTTGAGAGATAGGAGAAAATCAAGCTCCACTCTTGCCACAGGTCTGAAAAAATCCACAGGTGTTTCTGTCTAACATTCCACTGTGAGAAGACAACTCAGCACTTTGGGATAGCTGAACAGATGTGTAGCTGTCAAGAAGCTGAAAATGCAACCAACCTCTGAGACTGAACTTTGGACATGTGGAAAATGTCCATTTTGTGTTATTTTCCATTAAATATATGTTTTTTGTTTTATCCTTAACACTGAAAACTGATTAACCTGTACTTATGTACGGAGCCCTGATGATGACATCCTGTATGTGTGGCCATGACTTAGTAAGGCGTGGGAACAAGATCACGGCTTACTAAGTCATGGCCACGCATTAGGATCTCATTCCCACTCTTTACTAAGTCGTGGCCATGACTTAATCATCTCATTCCCACGCCTTACTAAGTCGTGGCCACACATTATTTTTATTTATACAGGATGTCACCAGCGAGGCTTTGTAATTATGGGCTTTTTCGACTGGAAATGAAATAAATGAAGGGTGGTCTCTGATGAATGTTACAGTTACTGATATGCTTAGAATGCACACTGCAGTGTAACAGCAAATCTTTTTGAGCCAGTTACCTAATTCCATTATAAAACTATCAAAGGCTGTAATACAAAGATATGAAAAATAAATAGAGAGTTTAGGGAGGTTAGCACTAGATCATAAGTTCAAAGGCATTACCATGTGTTGCATCACATGTCCCCTGGGCAGTGGGCTTCTAGTAACCGCTTGCTCTATTCCTAAAAAGCCACCTCTAGTTTTTCAGGTCTCTACTGTATCTAATTCAAATTATCACACGCCACCACATCACAACAGACACACTGCTGTTTTTGTTACATAACAGCTTTTTCATCCTTATGATAATCAGCTTCACCTTCAGGGTGAGGTAGATATGAACAGATAGGAGATATGAAAGCTCTCCAATGAAGTTTTCAAATTATGGAACCGTGCGCGTCTGTCTGAGTAAAGCTTTGACAGGGTGCTACTACAAACTGCCTCTGATCTCAGCTTCTTCAAAGCCTTCTCTCCTTTGAACGATGTGGGATGAGCACTGATCATCAGGACTGATGCTGCTGAGACAGGAAACCCTGAAACTCTGTGCAACCCTCTGTACCGAGGAGGAGGATGCAGAGAGGAGAAGCTGCTCTAGGCCATGTCTTTCTCCAACAGTGCACAGGAATAACCCTACAGCTTGGGGTGATAACCTTCTTGCACACGTGGGAACTCTCTATTTCCCCCACGGACTAACTGAACTTTCTACCTCTCTGTCTTCTTTAAGATCATCGCTTTGATCTTTCCCTTGGTATGCTCCCTTAACGCGTCATATTCTTGTACAGAATGACAAATCAATCACAAGGAGAAACAGAAAGAGCTTCTGACATAATACACTCTTAAAAATAATGGTGACCAAAAGGGTTATATTGAGTGATTCCACAGAAGAACCACTCTGGGTTCCCTTAAGGACTTTTCAACAAATGATGAATGAAGAAGGCAATATAAGAACAGCAAAGCGGTTTGAGTTCACTCTTAAAAATAATGGGTTCTTTGGAGCGATGTGATGCAATGGGTATTTCTGGATCCCTAAAGAACTTTGAGGGGATGGTTCTTCGAAGAAGATCTTTATAAATGAGATGTGTGAATGTAAAGAACCTCTACATAATATGAACATTCTATAACAGTTAAACTGAAATTTGCCCAAGCCAAGAACCATCTTGGAACCTCTAGAGCCTACAGACCTGTAGAGCTACTCAAATAATGCATCACTCTTAAAAGGTTCCTGGCATTAAGATCTGGTTCTATACTTAAAAAAAGGTGCCACACAAGGGGTTCTTTGAGTGATGCCATACAAAAACCATTCCCTAAAGAACCACATTTGTGAATGAGCCATGTGAGTATGAAGAACCTTTTAACAGTTTAAAGAACCTTCACATAATGTAAAGGTCCTATGCAAATGATGTTTTCTTCCCTCACACAAAGAACCTTTTTTGTCACATTTATTTTTAAGACTGCAGATTAAAACTGTAATTAAATTGTTGATTAAAACATGGATCTTTAAAGACCATCCAATTAAAGGGTTCTTTAGAGCAGTGGTTCAGAGCCCCCAGATCGTCCACAAAAGAGGAAAAATGTGGACTGTCTGGGAGGCCCTAAGGACCAGTTTGAGAACAACTGCTTTAGGGAACCAAAAGTGGTTCTTCTTTTTCAGGGCTGGGGGACTCTGGTCCTGGATGGCCAGATACCTGCACAGTTTGGTGATTTTCTGGCTCAAATACACCTGAATCAACCTGTTCTGTTACAGCAGGTAAATCACCAAACTGGCCTGATCTCTAGCAATCAGTTTCCCACCACTGTTCTATGGCATCACTCCAAAGAACCCTTTAGTTTTTAGAATGTAGAAAGACCTCAAACAGCTTACCATGTTCTCACACTTCTTAAAATTGGTAAAATAATCAAAATCAAACAAACTAAACTTACTTGTGAGGCATCGTGGGCGAAGACTGCATCAAAGTTAAATGTCTTTGGGGCAGCAGTGGATGAAAAGCGCTTCTGACCTCCATTGGAGTGAGTGTTAGCGGGCGGCTCATTGAAGGTCAGCTGCTTCTTATGGACATCCACCTTCAGGAAGGACATGCACTCAGAAGTGTCCCATGCTCCTTTGGCAGGACATATGCGCACCATTACTTTAACCTGTGGAGGACACAAATACACAATAAATCAGTAGGAATACGCAAGATCAAATTAATAGGTTTCAAACTAATGTAAACACCATTTAGAGACAAACAAAATAACATCTAAATAATAATGAAGTTAAATACTGCTTCCATTGCAGTGCGTAATCTGTCTCTGTGATGCTCAGCATAACGTGAAGCAACAGTTTTAACACAGCATGCCACACTAATGTGCTTCAGCTGCTTTGCCAGGGATTACCCTCACATTACCAGCACTTGGAAAGGCTGCAACCTGGCAGCAGCCTGGTGCAAAACCACACTATTCACAGTTCAGGATATCATGCTGTAAAGTATGTGAGCAACAGGATCCTTCACACAGTTCTCTCATGCTTTGGCTAGACATTGGCTGACATTAGAGTTTTCAGTGCTCGAGAAATTTCTTCAAAGGCAGAAAACGCCTCTTCACCATCATAAAACGGATTCTTTTTGGTGTGGGTGAAACATCTTTTACCACTCAAATATGAAGAGAATGATTATGAATTCCATACGTTTTCAGAAGAGTTACATTATTGCCTGAAATAGCAGTACGTTTTATCTAACATGCAGAAATACTCTTTACACCAGGACAGCAAACTATATTTTGTGACCTATGTGCTTCAGGACACATTTCACATGACCATGTATAAGATATCTATTTTCTTGCTGGTGGAACTGTGTGCTATAGAAAACTAGCTGACATTGTGTAACATTTCTGCTTCTCAACCACCAATCAAACTGTAGCACATTCAGCATTTCAGTCTCCTGAAGGTGAAGGTGATATTAATGTCTCTGAAGCAACTGCAGATTCTGTCCTTAAGGAAAGCTGACCAGTGGTGCTCATAACTCATCTCTTTTGAAGTGGCAAGACAAACTCGTGATAGGTCTGAAACTGAGCTTACACAATAACATGGCGGCCTCATACAATTATAAAGAACGATCAATCCAAGTTGATCAAAATGTGGGTATTAGAGAAATGTGTGTGATTTAGTTTTAATCACGTTACAGATGAAGTGCTCACAGCATAGTTTACTTGCCCAGGCAGATAATCAAGCTGTAGTCTGCCGCAACAATGGCGCTAGTGTCTCAGTATAGTTATTGACATATTAAGACAGACCATGGCCCAATCCTATTTCACCCCTTGCCCCTACCACTTAGCCCTTAGCCCTCTGTTTAGAATTCAGAAAGAATCTGCTTTCAGTTAAGGACAGAGGACTGTACCAACTCAAACCATCAAAAAATCAGTCCTCCTCCTGATCAAAAGATTTGCTGATGTTTCCTCATTTTCAATGTAACACTTGCATTTTGCAAGACAGAGTCATTATTTTATCATTATTTTAAAATTTTTATTTTATTCAGTTCAGTTGCATTTTATTCATTTTATTCAGTTTGTTCAGTTGCAACCATACTCACAGTTACTAGACAATGTAGTGGTTAACATTCACTTAGAGTTGCTCTGACTTTTCTAAGGCTTGATCAATCAACTTGATAAAAAGTCATTCAATCTTTTGTCAGTTTGGATTTTTACAGTGTATACTTGACAAAGTTAAAACTCTTTACACCATCATATTTTTAGCTAAAATATGAAATGAGATATAACAAAAACAAACAGTGTGATTTAAAAGTACACAGTGCAGCTGGAGACGCAGTATGGGAACACTGTGCAGTGAGTGAATCCCTACAGAACAGAGAGTCCAGCTGCGACCAAGCTTGGAGATCCGCTCCTGGAGCACGCCATGTCCAAAAAGAACAACACAGGTCTGTCCTCACCCAAAAATGGCCTGTCCATCTGTGGCCACTCTTTGCTAGGCTCAGGTGTGGGTTTGTCCACACATCCGTCCAGTCTCTTTGTCACGCAAAGCTCTACACAGTCCCCACAAGACTCTACCCATGAGCCAGTTATGGTATTTATTTGTCATTAAAAAACAAACAGTAACCCAATCTGATCCTAAAGACATAAGGTAAACTGACTTGGATAGTGGAGAGGTCTTCTAATGATCTCAGATAAATGATCTCAGGTGAAAATCAGCACAAGATGGAAGAGATCTACTTGAATTTAGTTAAACCTTGCTTTACATTCTGACTCACTGGGCAGTGACAGGAAACCAAGCCCAGGCCCCATGAAAAGCCCATTAGCTAAGAAATCACATTTAACAGCATTCAGAGTTACAGCTTACAGTATACCAGAAATGTGGAAATGCATTTTACTCTAATCCTTGTCGATTCAGGGTTGCCAGATTGTTTCTGTAGTTTACGGCCAACAAAATCTTCAAAAGTTGCTAAATGCATGAAAACTATTAAAAATAGTTGGACGTAAGCATTTGCCATCAGCAATAAACTGTTGGGTACAATAACGCTGATGTATTGCCTTTAAAATTTGCAGATAAGCATTTATGTGTCACTAAATGGCAGAGAAAATCAATGTTTTCTGTCGCTGGTACACAATTTTAAACATCTGAGAAATGCCTGGACAATAAAACTAGAGGGAAACTTGCAGATATTTGCTTTTGTGTTACCACTTTATTACTGTTTCAGAGTATTTTTCTTTTTTTAAATGCATTGATTGCACTTGTTTCTGCATCAAGTCCAAAAAAAATGCATTGGATCATCTGGAATCCACTCAATGTATTGGTAACACTACTACATTCTGTTTACTATTCTGGTTTTATAGCGCAGCCACCAGACACAGCTTCAGAGCATACAACTACAAATACTTACATACATTACATTATTTATATAGACAAAGAACTCAACTGCCAGATAATAAGAGTCTCCCGCTGCCCAAGCAGAATTGCCATGGACTTCATTCGTCCTATAATAGTGAGCATTTCTTCATTTCTTTTACTTTTTTTCTCCACTGATTTATTTAGCAGGGCATCCGACTAAAACAGTTTCCTCATAACCTTGGGGTTAGAATTCAGAAAGAATCTGCTTTCAGTTAAGGACAGAGGACTGTACCAACTCAAACCATCAAAAAATCAGTCCTCCTCCTGATCAAAAGATTTGCTGATGTTTCCTCATTTTCAATGTAACACTTCCATTTTACAAGACAGAGTCACTAATTTGAGAGGCTGAACGCAAGCACAGACTTCACACTTCCTCCAGTGTGAACGTACATTTTCACCTTAACTTTCTGCCTCAAAACACTTGGCCGACAGTTCTGGAAGAAAGCTCTCCACTCTGCCAAGGGGCCATGCTGACGCCTGTGGCTGTTACATCAAACAGTAACAGGCAATGCTAATGCTTCTGGGAAACCTGAAAGCATACCTCAGCAGTGCATTTATTGGGTGCATCAACATGGCCCCAAGTTAATCTGGGTATGAAAGTGAAAGTTGCCCTGGCTATATATGTGTGAAATAACAGACAAAACAAGAAGTTCTAGGCATGTATTTATGGAAAAGATTCAGCATACTGAAAGAATAGAAAACACAAAAATGCGTTCAAAACGTCTTTTCAAGTTTCCCACTGCAAAGCAGGCAACACACAACCAGCTCGTCTAAGCATCTGCCTAACAAATATCCTCTACAACAACAATCCGAAAAGGCAACAGATTACGCAGTAAGGTGGATAAGCCAAGATATGTTTTAGCATTGAAGATCAGCACCATTAATTTAGCGCTGGGGCTATGTTACTACTGTTTAGTTTAGGAAGCTAAGAGTGCTGGAAGCTAACATTGCTAACAAACACTAGAAGTCAATAGTCACCCAAATGCTTTCCATAAATACATCCTTAAAATTCCTCTCAACCTGCTTAAACTGCATCTAAGTCTTTATTAAGGTCATGCAGACTTGCTGGTGTGGTTTAGGACACAATATTATTTACTGTGGTCTATAAAAATGTAGAACCTTCTCTGTGGGTATTTTGACCCCCTCTCATATGCATGAACCTCATGCAGGGATATGGGAGCTATAGATTTCTGTTTTTCTATTTATGTAACTGTCAATTTTGACTTTTCAATCTGAAGATGTACATTTACAGACAGAAACAACACACTGTGAATGTAATTTAGTGTCCATATGCCTGTGTGCATGCACACATAGGGGGATTGGATTCTGTCGGGAAGTTGTAATTCAGCACAGCACCTCTTGTCTGACATGGCTGACCGCAGCAATCAGCAAAACAGTGAATTTTTGTTTATTTTTATAGTTCACAGTAAGCCACACTGTGTCCCAAACCACATCGACCTAAATGAAGACCTGGATGCCATTTGAAAGAAAACATTCCTTTTTGAGTTTTAACCTCAAATTATGCTTTGTTGCTGTTTAAGGTGGGAAAGTATTCTGCATCATGACAACCCCAATCCTAGTTGTAGTGCACCGTGATATTCCTATTCTCACGGACTACTAAACTCATGCTTCTGTTTCCACCCTTTACAGCAAAGTTCCACTCTGAACAATATGCATGCTCATCCTGCAACAGGAATCAGTCTCTTATGCCTATAAATAAATGCTTACCTACCACACATCCACTCCTCTACATTTCAGCATGCTCTGCAGTTCATTGTGCCTTAGTGGCTCCTGCTAATGTACCTCAACTCAGTGGACCTCATTAGGACTCACTCCATTCTGCCCCCTTGATGTAAACCTCATTAAAAATTTGCAGCTGCTCACCTGTAATGTTTATTGTACATTTTCAAGACAGTGCTTGTAGTAGTCTACTTGTGTGCAGCTTCTAAGTAAGCAGACACCCTTTTAAGCTGCTCTAGCTGTATAGACGTGGCTTTAAAGGGGAAATGAGGACACACTTGGCACCTGGTCAAGGGATTTAGGGGGTCCTCAGAGGTCTCCTCAGTGGAGTAAGTCTAAGGTGGCTGATGTCATTGCCCTTTGTGTGCAACGGTTGTGGGAAACCATCTCCCAGTAGGTTTCAGTCTACAACAGACCTGTACCATCTGGTAGTGTTTATGAGTCAACTGGTCTGTTACACCACACTCTTCAGGTGGGATGATGCCAGGAACACACACTGCATCTTAATTTGCCCAAAGAGAATACATCTCAGCGGCCGGCCTTGATTAATCCCTATGAATTTACACAGGGCATTTCAGGTGTACAATTACAGGGTCATTCTGGGGTCAGCACTGACCACTCCAGCTCTTAAACTTCCAGGGGATCTAGAGTGAGTTGGTAACCCAAAAAAGAAGTGTCAAGCTGGGTTAGGAGCGTGTAATTCAGCCTGTAAGTGATCCAAGTCGATGCAAGATGTTTGGAGCTATCACACAGAGAATGGGTAACCACACGTCGCACATAGCCAGCTCTTCAGGGCATTAACTGTGATGTCACTATTATAAACAGACAAACAGATGTCTTGTTGATGTCATCCACACATCCTGCCACTGGCTGTGAGACCGGTATCAAGTGAAGGAGATGGCTGGCGGTGCTATATTAGGACCGTGTCTAATCCACTTCAGTGTAATCTCTCTGCACTCATTTAATGTGTAGCATACAACACTACTTCATCCTAGGATTCAACACCAGGACTTGGCACACACTAGGTTGACATAACCAGAGTAAAGCCAAAATATAGTGTGCAGTAGTACTTAGCCAAGCACATAATATAGCTAACTTCATTACTTTTAGGTTTATCAACATTATGTTATTATTTGCAAACTACAGGGATGCATAGATACCACTTTTTCCCATCCAATACCAATACTAACTCTAATCTAACTATAAGTTCTGATATTTATACAATTCCCCATCTAAATACTTTATTTAGGTAAAACTGTGTTTTGTGTCACCAATAAGGCACAAAGCAGCTTCTCTGGCTCGTCTGAATGTTAGAATTTCTGTCTTTTGTTTCATATGTGCACTGTTCACTCACACTTACATCTCCAAGTGTCAGACTCTGCTGGAGTGCAGTATAGATTACAGCCATTTAGTCATTCATGCTGTCAGAAGCAGTGTTTTTCAGCAATGTTCTGGCTTGGTGGCAGCAACAGGCCGCAAGACCCCACTGCTGCATGATACAGCTGACTGCAGACGGGGCTAGCAGGCTTATTTGTGGGGTGAAACAAATACTTTGGAAAGAATTCTAAATGGAGAGAGTGTATAATCACAGTGTCCACTGATATGCAGTCCTTCTTCGTCAAACATCTCCGTGAGTCCACATTTCTCTGGCTATGTCATTAAGTACTTCCATTTTTCTACACTCATTGTCCATTTAATCTTCTCCACTTACCACATAGGTGCACTTTGTAGTTCTACAATTACAGACAGACAGTAGTCCTCTGTTTCTCCACACAATTTGTTAGCCACCTTTTACTCTGTTCTTAAATGGTCAGGACCCTCACAGGACCACCACAGAGCAGGTATTATTTGGGTGGTGGATCATTCTCAGTACTACAATGACACTGATGTGGTGGTGTGCTGTGCTGGTACGAATGGATCAGACACAGCAGTGCTGCTGGAGTTTTTAGTATATGTGTGTTTTTTTAGTGGTAATAATTTGTAGTAGTTGCTGAATAATAGTAATAATTTGTTGTAGTTGTTGAAGTTTAAGGGGGTAAAAGATAGTTCTAGTGTCACAGAATAGTAAACGATACTAGCATAGCATTGATTTGACAGGCTGCGAAATGATCAAGATAACTCATAAGTAATTCAGAAACATGTCAGAAGAAGTTTAATGAGAAACATTCTGACATGATGTCATGCAAGGGCATGTCAAGTATGCTGCTGCATATCTGCGTGTGTCTATAATTCATTCTCATCAGACAATGCGCTTTTATGGTTATTAACAGATTTTTCCTTCTGATCGTTCCAAGACAAAGCTCCCAATAACTCAATAACTCCCAATCCAACCTCCGTATGTTCGAGCACTCATACAGATGCCCATTCTGAGAGAAAACTTCCTCTTTCATCCACAGGCCCTCTGATATGACCTTCTGACCGGACAGTTTTTCCCACTCCCACTGGCTATCAAAAAAATGTGTCTGGTATTCCAAAGGAGCTTCTTGGAATTCCAGCAGCCTGGGAATGAGGACAACTGGTCTGTCCCGAGCTGTCAAACACAGTCTGTATTGATGCTAACTTGACAACTGGCCAAATTTAATGTTCTTCAGCTGAAGTAATCAGATAAAGCAGTGCATTGTTGCCGCCCAAAGAAAATGTTGACGTAAGCTTCATGATACATGAGAGTGCCCTATTATGTCCTAAATGTCAAAGAAAAACCACATAGTCTAAATGATTAGCTTTGAAATATGACCATACCTTTCCCATTCCAGGGCTGTCTTTGACCTTTGAGCCGGCTCTGAGCAGGCATGGTGGGACAGGTGGTGGGGACACCTGCAGGGTGGCACTGAAACCCTCGGTGTAGAAGAATGGTTCATCCGGGTCAGGTGGTGAGGGGGGAGGTGGGGGGTGGGGCTTCTTCCGTTTAGAGAGGTTCAGCTTCTGAGCAGCTCTGCAAAAAGAAACACAGGACATAAGACACAATGGGCTTGTGGTTTTTGTTCTACTTTATTTTCTATATACTTGATGAAACTGTCATAATAACCAAGAAATGTCTAAAAAATATTCTCTAATTTGGCTAATTAGCTACCGTGTTCGCTAGTTAGCTGAACTTTTTGGACTTGACCTTGACACGAAGTAAAATATTGCACTGCACACACTCATAAAATGTCCACATTTACACAGAATCATGTGTATAGCCAAGCAAACGTTAAATTTCTTTCTCTTGTAAGTGTAAACTGATGCATTTGCTATCTTGCTTAGCTTAATTTTAGCTGTAACTACGCTCACAAACTCAGAATAATTGCACAGAATAATGTGTAGAACCAAGCTAAGCTTATATTTTTCCCTTTCAAGTGTGAAAATGAGCAAAATCACTCATTTTGTGGAAGCTAGCATAGATGCTAATAGCATTAGCATTAGCCTTCCAAACTATTTTCAAAGTAAAAATTCTTAAAATAGTAATCATTCTTAAAATAATGCTCACAAAATAACTGATGGTTAAAAATCTCTCAAATTGTGAAATATCTAAGTCAAAGGTAGTTATTTATTTAATACTTCTTTATTTGCATTTAGTTTTTTTTGTTTTTCTGCAGGAAATCTACATTCTGTCATCTTTGGCACATATTTACACACAATTAGTCACAATCCCACCACCTTAAACATATCAGTGCAATCCATAGAAAAACATGTATCTCCAAAATTGTAACTTTACAAGGGATAAATATTCCTAGTTTTTCACGCAAGTTAACGTAAGAGGTTTCATTCCAAGTCACTTTGGAGCATTTCTATTAGTCCATTTGTAATGAAATTGTCACAAAATGCAAAGGACACAAGTTCAGAGGATCAAAAACAAACCCATGACTGAAAGATAAGGAAAGTGGTATTAAAAAGCGCGGAAACTTTAAGCTTCAATATTTGCTGTATATGTAACTCTACAGTCTGCTGTGTTGGAAAAAAAGCCAAGCATAAAAATGACTGGGAGTAGTTCACAACGAGGCCAGAAGGGGCACTATATACCTCCAACACTGTATATGTGACAACACTTAAATGTGTGTCAGGGGCATTGGGCTGTGTGTGTGCGTGTGTGTGTGTGTGTTAGAGAGGGGTTAGTGATGTGGGCGTCTGTAACATATGTAGTGCTATGAACTGCGATTGCCTGAGAGTTCGAGTCAGAGGAGCGCATCAGCATATACATATATAAAAAGTGTATGAGTCATCACATACCTTGGTAAATGCTAGTGGTGCAATGTGTTTGTGTATATGTTGGTTTTCATGCATTTTCAGTACATTGTGGAGAACCATAAAAAAACAGGGCTAACTGACAATGTCAGGATCAAAATGTTCTTTGTAAACTTGTATTTAAATGAAAGGAAAAGTAATTTCTTTTGCTAACTGAGGTTAAGGTTAGGGATAGGTTTAGGCTTTGGCTTAGAAAATACATATAAATATTTACACATTGTGCGAAAGTCTTAGGCACCAAAGCACATTATTTAAAATTGTTGATCTGGGCAAGCAGTGTGTATATGCCTATGTGTATATGTTAAAAAACACCATGTTTCATTAGAATAGAAGCAAGAATTTCCTATTTTCAAAAAACATTGTTGATATCTTGTGAGTTTGAAGAGACTTTGGTAACAGATTTCTCCTCAGCGCCCCCAGCAACTGCATAGATTTGTTCAGTTCCATCAGCACCAACTGACTACATGCTTACTGACAAAATAAATAGCTTTTTAAGCTTAAGTTTTTTTAATTTTCTCATTTTTTATTTAACATACCACTGATGATGGATATCATCAGTACTTAAAGAACACATGTTCTTTAAGAAAAGCATGTTTCATTACAAAAAAAGGCACCACAGTTTTTTATGCCTGTTCCAACTGATGCATATAGCAGATCATGAAAATGTCGTAAAATATTGTTTTATTGTATTGTTGCCATATCGCTAACCCCTACAATACATATGTGTCATTTACATACTGATAATACAAAGATAATATATATACACTATATGGACAAAAGTATTGGGACACCTACACATTACACCTACAGAAACATTTATGACGTTTTATTCTAAATCCATAGGCATTAATATGGAGTTGGTCCCCCCTTTGCAGCTATAACAACTTCCACTCTTCTGGGAAGCTTTCTACAAGATGTTGGAGTGTGTCTGTGGAAATTTTTGCCCATTCATCAAGAAGAGCATTTGTGAGGTCAGACACTGATGTTGGCTCACAATCTCTGTCCTAGTTCATCCCAATGGTGTTCGATGGGGTTGAGGTGAGGGCTCTGTGTGGGTCAGTCAAGTTCTTCCACACCAAACTCACCCAGCCATGCCCTTTATAGACCTTGCTTTGAGCAGTGGGGCACAGTCATGCAGGAACAGAAAAGGGTCTTCCCCAAACTGTTCCCACAAAGCAAGAAGCATACAATTGTCCAAAATGTCTTGGTCTGCTGAAGCATTAAGATTTTCCTTCACTGGAACTTAAAATAACCCCATATCATTATCCCTCCTAAACCAAACTTTACAGTTGGCGCAATGCAGTCAGGCAGGTAACGTTCTCTTGACATTTGCCAAACTCAGACTCATCCATCAGACTGCCAGATAGAGAAGCGTGATTTGTCACTTCACAGAATACATTTCCACTACTCCAGAGTCCAGTGGCAGCGTGCTTTGCACCACTCCATCCAAAGCTCGGCATTGTGCTTGGCGATGTAAAGCTTGCATGGAGCTGCTCAGCCATGGAAACCCATGCCATGAAGCTCCTGCTGCACAGTTTATGTGCTGATGTTAATGCCAGAGGATGTTTGGAGCTCTGCAGTTATTAAGCCAGCAGAGAGTTGGTGACTTTTATGCACTATGCACCTCAGCACCCGGCGACCTGCTCTGTAACTTTACATGGTTGGACACTTTGCGGCTGAGTTGCTGTGGTTCCTAAACGCTGACACTTTTCAATAATACCACTCACAGGTGATCGTGAAATACTTAGGAGGGAAGAAATTTCATGAACTGACTTGCTGCAATGGTGGCATCCTATTACAGCACCACACTCAAATTCAGTGAGCTCTTTAGATTGACCCATTATTTCAAAAATGTTTGTAAAGGCAGACTGCATGACTATCTGCTTGATTTTATTAACCTGTGGCAATGAGACTGAATGAAACACCTGAATTCAACGATTAAGAGGTGTGTCCCAATACTTTTGTCCATATAGTGTATGTATGACAACACATCCTGCCCTGACATTATACAGACAAAACTGTGTATCTGTGTGTGAGGGAACAACACACAATACTGGGCATTTTGGGCACAGAGTGATGGATGAAAAACTGTGCATGAAGAACACTGGGGGATTGGTGCTATTTTCTCAGCTGTGTTTTAGAGTTGCAGCCTGACTGCAAAGCAAACACACTTTGGCAGATGTTGGAAATTATTCTGTCAAAAGTCAAGTGTATCTGTGTTTATACAGTAAAGACTGTAATATATAAACACAACATAAAGATACGTGATGATGATGTGTGTCGTGCTCCCAGCATGCAGTTGAGCGTGCTTGAGGATAGCAGCCTGAGCTCATTACAAACTTTGGCCGATTACTGACTCTCTCTGTCTGTCTCTCCCTCTGACTCTTTCTTTCCCTTTCTCTCTCTCTCTCTCTCTCTCTGTCTGTCTCTCATTCCCTCTCTCTTCTTCTCTATCTCTTTCTCTTTCTCTATTCCTCTCACTCCCTCCCACTTTTTCACTCCCTCTGCCTCTCCTCCTCTCTCTCTCTCTTTCTCTCTCTTCAGTCTTTCACTCCATTGCTCTCTCTTTTTTCTCTCTCTATCCCTGTCTCTCACTCTCTCTCTCTCTCCTTTATCAGTCCTCTTCCTTCAGTGCAGTCTCTTCAGGGGTGTAAAATCACAGAATACACTGTGTAATTACAGCCTCCGTGAAGGACGCTGAGGGGAGTCTCAAGGGGCGTGTGTGTGTGTGTGTCTGTTTGAGAAAGAGAGAGAGAGAAACAGGCAGTGTGTGCACATACTTGTGTGTATGTGTGTGCACGTGTGTGTGTTTGTGTGTGTGTGTGTGTGTGTGTGTGTGTGTGTGATGAGAGAAAGACAACAGGAGGCAGATAGAAAGTGAGAAAAAAAATAAAATTAATAATAATAATAATAATAATTATTATTATTATTATTATTATTATTATTATTATTAACCATTATGATAATATTATTAATAATAATAACAATTTCATTTTTTATTGTTGTTGTTTTTAATGTTTCAATTTTATGCTTTAACAGTAATGTACTTGATACAGTCCTGTCAACGAAGCTATATTAAACCACACGAGAGAGAGAGAGAGAGAGAGAGAGAGAGAGAGAGAGAGAGAAGGGGAGAGATGGATATTGAAGGAGAGAGAGGGAGAGAGGGATAAAAAGAGAAGAGAGAATTGAAGAGGGGGAAAAGAGAGAGAAAGAGAACAAGTGAGTGTGAGTGTGTGAGAGAGAAAAGCATGAGAGAGAGAGGGAGGGCAAGAGAGAGAGAGAGAAATGAGAGAGAGAAAAGACAGAAAGAGAGAGAGAGACAGCGAGTGAGAAACAAGAGAGAGAGGGGGGGGGTGGCAAGAGAGAGAGAATACAGCAGCAAATTAAATCACCCAAGATGAGAATCTGCAGCATTTAGCATGATATAAACATTTGTGGAGTTGTGGCGTTATACAGCCACATTAATAATGCAAAAATCAAATGGATGGAGGGTGAACGCATCCCAGCGGTACTCTCCTGAACGCTCAGTTCTATTCTCTGTGGCAGAAATATTGAATTTCCATCAGAGGTGTGAATGAGGGCGGCAGGCTGAGGAGGAGGCAGGGCAATCAGATGAAAACAAGAGCAGAATGAAAAGCAGATAGAGAGGAGGTGGGTTTTCTTGCCCCAGACCCACCTCTGTAGACAAAAGCCTTCCCTGAGTGAAACCTCACCTAGCACACACTCACACACACACACACACACACACACACACACGCGCGCACACACACACACACACACACACACACACACACACACACACACAGTACTCCACCATAAAAGAAGAACCCACGCCCACTCATGGGACTGAGCCAGGCAGCACAGTAGGCTTCTGAAGAGCTCTGTACTCTCTCCAAGTAGAGCAGAATCTAATGTACCAAGCAGCCCTGACACCCACTGCACACCAAATTGAGATATCCGACAGTGTTTACTGACCCATGTGGGTTAAAAAAAGCAAACACCATGCTAGACTGAGCTCAGATATGCTAGACTAGGCTTTGCCAAAGTGCAGCCACCTGTTAAATCCCGCTCCTGTGCCTCTACATGCACAACTACAGGAAACCACTTACAGGTTTTAAAAACTGGATCAGGAGCATCTACAAAACTTCACTGCAAAGAAAATCGATCAAAGAATCCAGACAACACATCTTACATATTGCTTTTATGGTTCATTGTTGCTGAGTAATTCATAGTACTGGCTTATGATCAACCCCTTAAAAACTCACACTTATTATCTCCCAAGGCCTATTATTCAGCAACTACACTCATTACAATGCAAATTGTCTGAGTTATTTATAGTTTATGAAAGTGTGTAATAAATGTTTAGACTGGACCACTTCAGGGGGTAATATTGAAGTAAAAAGCCCAGGGCTTTTTTTTTTTTGGCATGGATTAAGCTCAGTCTTGGACTACACTGTAATGGTAATGGTACTTCACTATGACAATTCTCACTTAAGACTTCTTTTTTGGACTGTCATTTCAACCACATTTGGGCATAAACTGAAATAAAATGGTGAGTCTTTAGGGCTAAGGTGAAACATGTGCAAAATATGACGCCACAGGCTAAATGTAGCGTAAATGTAGACTGGGTCTGGGAAAGCTGTCTCTAGAGTTATGTGGTTAAAGCCAGACCAGTCAATAGGTTAAGCTAAAAAACTTTCACTGACACTTTCAAACAGCTGAAATGAGAAATAGCATCTATACTACAAAGCAGTGGTTCTCAAACTCTTCCCCAGGGACCCCCAAACAGCCCAGATTTTTGCTCCAACCTAACTTGCAACACGTAAGGTTACAGCAAAAACACTGGTCTATGATGACCTGTTTGAGAACCACTGCTATAAAGCACTTCAAAATCGGTCAGTGGCAGACAGTGACACCTCGAATCAAGCAAACATCCGCAATGAGTATACTCACAGTTCTCTCCAATCCATTGTCCTTTTTAGAGTTCATAACAGCACAGAAGTGACACATACAACTTTTTCCTCATCTGTTCCACACTTTGGCCAGAGCGTTCCATGCTTTCCAACACATCCAGGGTAGAGTTAGGCAGAGGGAAGGAGGCGGCTGAGTCAGGGGTTCCAGGGGTGGGGGTGAAAGGTGTGTGCTGGAGGATGGGGCTTTCATCAGAGACACAGGTAAGTCAAGCAGGAAGCAGATGGACAAACCATATGGCAGTGTGGGAAAGCACAAAGCAGCAGCATGTCATGAAAGCTCATAATGAGCCTGGAAAATGTTTCCCAGCCTAAGAGCGAATCCTGCAGAAGAGCATTCTGGTTGTCACAGAGGAGGACCTGCTGCGTAAGCACCAATTACGTCCAGAAAATGGTTACAGGTGACGGGAAGTGAGTACAAGAATTTTTCAAACGTGCTTCTTCTTTAGTTTTGTGCACCTGGCTGAATCAGTTTGTCTCACCAGTGGCTCCATTTGTGACACTTAACCTTACCCATCTCTATCTACAGTTCTTTTTCTCTCTCCTTCACTCTTTTTTTCCTTCTCTCTCCTCTTTCTCACTCTCTCACACTGTCTCTCGTCCCTTTTTCTTTCTCCACTTCTTCTGTCTCTTTCTGTTTCTCTTTTTCTCTACTGCCCCTCTCTCTGTTTCTCTACTGCCTCTCTCTGTTTTTCTCTACTGCCCCTCTCTCTTTCTCTGCTCTCGCCCTCTACCGCCTATCTCCTTCTCTTCTTCCTTCTCTCACTTTCTCTAATTCTCTTTCTCTCTTCTTTTTCCACTTCCTCTCTTCTACCTCTCTCCAGCTCTTTCTCTACTGCCTTTTGCTCTCTCTCTCTCTCTCTGTCACCCCACTTCCTTCAATGTAGTCCCTTTCAGGGTTGCAATATACTGTATACTATGTACTATATTCTGTACTATACTATAGTATACTATACTACACTATACTGCACTATATTACACCATACTACACTATACTATACTATGCAATATTACACTCTACTATAAAATACTATACTGTGTTATAAGAAACCATTTTTCTAACACTTACTCTACTTTTTTCCCTCTTCTCTCTCATTCCTTCTCTTTCCCTTTTCCTGAACCCTCACTTCACCCCTGCGTTCAGTCCAGGCTGGGGGCGCGCCTTCCCCTCACCTTCTCCACTCTGCTGGGCTGCGCTCCCTCGCTTCCCTCTCGTTCCTCTCGCTGAAGGATGACAGGAGTCCAGGAGGGCGGAAAAGCCCACAGCGGAACAGCAGGTCCGCCGGGAGGTGGGAAAAGGAGGCGATTCCTGCTGCCACTGTTGCTGGGAAACCCTGGCGGAGGTCCAACGGTCCCTCCTCTTCCCTCTCCTCTCTGCTCCCGCTCCGCTCCACGTCTTCCTCAATCTGCGCGTCGCTCTCACCTTCTTGCTCGCTCTCTCTCTCTCTCCTCTCTCCCTCTCTCTCTATCTCGCACACTCTTTCTCCTCCCAACCCAGCCCCCTTCCTTCCCACTCACTTCTCAGCCGCAGCAGTGCACAACTGCTGCGCAAAGACACTCTGATAGACAGCGCGGTCTTCTCACACACATGTGCTTTCTGTCTCGCACCCACACACACACACACATACACACACATTCACCTACCAGTGTTTCTCTCAACCCTCCAAACACAGTTCACTCACATATACGGCATGTACACCCGCACATCGTATGACATGAATACTTCATGAGCGCAGAGGAGCCCCCTCTGCTCATTCTGCTGGACTTCAAAGAGATTAGGTTAGTGTGTCTGTGTGTGTGTGTGTGCGCGTGTGTGTTGTGTGTGTGTGTGTGTGTGCGCGTGTGCACATGCGTGTGTGTACATACAACAGCATGTATATCTACTTTCTATCACTTACTTACAACAATCGGCAACAAAAGAGCACTGATGATCCAGGATAACAGACAGCAATAAGAGAAATGAAAGGGTGTCTGGAGAAAACAAAGAAAGCCAGAGTAGCCCACACATTAAAACTGCTGAGATGGATGGGAGGATGATTACAGCAGGATGGATAGCAGTGCTGATGGATAAATCAATGTGCGGACACAGCAGACAAAGAGTGTTTATGGATTAGAGGAATAGGTGAGTTATGACATGTTAATCAGGGCATTTGCATCCAAGCTAAGGCACTCAACAACGTCTCCAATAACGATTTCATATCAGTTCAGTTAACTATTTTAAAACACAGAGAATGGCTCTCAGGCTAAATTCTCCAGAACACTAAATAAACAGTACATTTATTTAAGGAGTTTCACAGAAGGAAATCTGAAGTACTCCTTTACAAGATTCATGAAAAAACATGAAATCAAATATGTCAGTTTTCTGCAAATTTCACAATTTCAATTTGTTTTCTGAGTTTAATATATTGGAAAAAAGAAAACATTCAATATAAAATGTGCCATAACATCTTTTGTTTTATTATTTTTATATAACTCTCGTTAAATTCAGCAAATAAACAGTAACTAAACAGAAGTGTGATTTTCACTTAAAAGTCAACAAAACATTTAAAACATTCAAAAAAAAAAAGTTTGACAATAATGCATGTTCCAGGTCGATCAACTTTCAAAAGGGAAATTGCAGCATTTTCTCTTAGTGATGGAAGTGGTGTGTGCCTTAACTTGAGATCATTTTCAGGGCCATGTACTGCACCCTTTCCAACTGCTCTTCTTGACCTTTGGAATATCCAACTAGAAGAACATGACCATTCCCTAAGACTGTCCTAATGAGAGCTAACTAAACCGAGACAAGATCTCACACTAACATAGAAATTCTTGACTGTACTCTTAGTAGATAAAGATGCTTGGCATGACTGCTAACTCTTAGAACTTTATAGTTACTATTACTTTGGCTATCCCTTTTAAATGTAATTGCACAAGTACATGAATAATTATATATAGGTTACAAATTAGTTGCTTAATAAATAATATTTACAATGAGTTTACAATCCAAATCAACTGGTCTGAGTTTGCAGTTTTCTCATTTGTCTTTACACATTTCTCCACTTGCTTGGAAACTTTGGAAACTTTGAAAGTTTAGACTCTGCACTTTTGCCAGCACTTCATGTTTCAATGAGCTTCAAGTGAGAAATGATTCATATTATTCCATCAATTTTGCAAAATGTCTGCATAGTTCAATCAATGAAAACAAGATGTAAACAAGGTCATTTAGAGTGATCTGATGTGAAATAATGCAGTGTAGAAAAAAGGACTGATTTTCTTTACCTCAATGAGAATGGGAGCCAGGGATTGTGATGTGTGCAATCCCATTACAGTCATTTTAGAAGCTACCCAAATGGACCAGTTAACCTTCACATGTCTTCTGACAGTGGAATTTCCCCTTTAAAAGATTTGATTCTTATAATTGATGATGACATGCTAATGATGTCATGTCGTCATGATGAATATGTGCTCTGATGAAGAACACTGATGCTCTTAAGAAAACCCTATAAATTTAAACTCAATTTCTAGAACCTAATTAATACACTCCATGTCATCTGGCAGAAAAGGATGACTGAGAGCCTGTAGTCTCTGCCATGTGTGCACCTTGGAACCAGTCCCGGTCCAGCAATTGTCACCATTCCCCGGTGCTTTCTTATGAGGCTATTGGTCAACTTGACAGTGCTTAAAGCTTAGACCTGCTTAGACTGCTTGGTTAGCTCACACTGAATGAAATCTGAGGGAAGAAATCCTTCAAGTGAGTCATACTTATACTTCACAAAGCTACTCATGACACTGGAGATTTTTTGTGGCTCAGCAATTAATTTCAAAACACCAGGCCATGACTCACCAACACTGTCACTCAAACTCTCAACTTTTATAATGAACTTCAGCCTCAGAGATCCTTGCAAGCCTATATGCACGACTGTATATACAGTCAGGTCCATAAGTATTTGGACAGTGAAACAATTTTTGTAATTTTGCTTTTGTACACCACCTCAGTGGATTTGAAATAAAGCAGCCACGATGTGACTGAAGTGTAGACTTCTCGCTTTAATTCCAGGGGTTTAACAAAAATATTGCATAAACCATTTTGGAATTACAGCCATTTTTTATGTAGTCCCTCCATTTTCACAGGATCAAAAGCAATTAGACAAACTAACATGATTATAAATACATAGATTATTTTACCAATGCCTGCCTGAATTCTGGAACCCATGGGCATTACCAAATGCTGAGTTTCCTCTCTTGTGATGCTTTGCCAGGCCTTTACTGCAGCCACCTTCAGTTGCTGCTTGTTTGTGGGTGTTTCAGCCTTCAGTTTTGTCCTAAGTGAAAAGCTTTGGGTTGAGATCAGTGACTGACTCGGCCATTTAAGAGACTTCCCATTCTTCGCCTTAAAAGTTCTTAGCTTACTTTCTTGGTATGTTTTGTCTGTACTGTGAAGCGCTGTTCTATCAGTTTTGCAGCATTTGACTGGATCTGAGCAGAAAGTGCAGCTCAATACACTTCAGAATTCATCCTACTACCTCTATCAGCAGTCACATCATTAACAAACACCAGTGACCCAGTTCCACTGGCAGCCATACATGCCCACACCACAACACTGCCTCCACCATGTATGACAGATGATGTGGCATGCTTCAGATCTTGAGCCCTTTCTTTCTTTTTCCATATCCTTCTCCTCCCATCATCCTAGTACAAGTTAATCCTAATCCAGAACTTGTCAGGCCTTCTTAGATGTTTTCTAGCAAAGTCTAATCTGGTCTTTCTGTTCTTGAGTGTTACCAGTGGTTTGCATCTTTGTGGTAAACCCTGCGTATTTACATTCATGAAGGCGACTCTTGATTGTAGACTTTGACAATGATACAACAACCTCCTGTAGAATATCCTTGGCTTGACTTGATGTTGCAAGATGTTAGAAGTGTTTTTTCTTCACCATGGAAAGAATTCTGCAAAAATCCACTTTAGTAGTCTTCCTTGATCTTCCAGGCTTTTTGGGGCTGTTGAACTCACCAATGCATTCCTTATTTTGTGCCGAAAACTGTACCAAATTGTTGATTTGGCCACTTCCGAAGTTTCAGCCACCTCTCTGAAAGGTTTGTTTTGTTTTTTAGCCTAATGATGGCCCCCTTCACTTGCATCGACACCTCTCTGGACTGCATATTGAGAGTTTCCATGAACAGCAACTAAATGCATATTTAACACTTGGAATCAACTGCAGAGCTTTTATCTCTTTAATCTGTCATGAAATAACAAGTGAACAGGCCACATCTGGCCATGAAATTGTACATCAGTCAGTTTTGAGCCCGTAAAAAAGGAGGGACTATGTAAAAATCGCTGTAATTCCTAAATGGTTAATGCAACATTTTTGCTAAACCTCTTGAGTTAAAGCTGAAAGTCTACACATTAATCACATCTTGACTACTTTATTTCAAACCCTTGTGGTGGTACACAGAGGCATATAGAAACACACATTATCAGTCTTTATGTGTGCAGCTTTTCCAATACCCTTGGTTATACATCTTCTGATTATCTTGTTTCTTTAGTTATTGTTCTTTTTTCATACATGATTTTGTTTTTTTAGCTATTTTTCTGATATAGCTGAACTTTGCTCTTAATCTGAGG